TCTGTCTTTGATCCCCTCACCCCGTATGAGGTCTGCCGAATAAACTCAATTGACACAGCTGAAACCTAGCCGCTTTTGAGAAATGGGTTTCTCGTTCAAATGAAGGTAAAATAATTGAGAGTGTATGATTGGATGATTCGTCAAAGCGAATAGTTTTCCTCCTCAATCTGCGCATCTATTTCTAATATTCCCTTATTTGCTAAGAGGAGTAGGCCTAAAAGGCAATAGACTTAAGTTGAGTCAAGTAAATTTGTACGGCATGATAATATGGTAAGGGGTGAACAATGGCTCAAAGATTGAACCGAATGCACTGCAAACATCAAATTGGTAGATACTCGATTGCTAGAGAGTCAATACAGCGTGAGAAAGTAGCACACATCTTTCTAGTGCTGTTTGATAAAAGTTCAGAGGATGAATACCGGTAGTTACGGAACGGTCAACGTGAAGCCCCATCACACTAACTTCATTCGTCTTAAGAGACGGCATGCGATACAGCTGAGTTGTGGGGAACAGGCTAGCGGGAAGTCAAATTTACCTTGCCGGACCCACAGATCTTCGACGCGATCTGTTCGTCCTTAAGAGATTCCCTGCTATGATCATCATAGAGCCGCTGAATTACTAAGAATTTGCCAATGAATATTTCGGTATATCTCATCTCTGAAGAAGAGGAAAATCAACTAAGCCTGATAATCTGCAAGCTGAAAATATTCTGGTATGAACCGATCAATTTCCCGGATAAGTCGGAGCGTTGTATTGACCAACAGAGGTTGAATTGACTGCGCATCTTGTCAACACAGGTCAGTAAAAGCTATCAAACTCTGTATTCGCATACGAGGGATCCACTTCGATGACATGTTGATTGCATCATTACACTGGGAGTTTGAAGCTCAGTTAGACCATTGACCTCCTCTTCATCCACGTAGTGAAGATCCCTCGGAAAATTAATCGTGAGCCTTGAGATTCCAAGTTCTAAACGAGAAGTCAAAATAGAAGCCAGGCAAATCATTATCTGACTACTTATATACATATCCTCTACCTCATGTATGCTCAACAATTACGAACTGTTCGCAGTATTATACCCCCTTTCTTGACATTATTTCAGTACCGAAAATGAAGCTACAGTGGAGGGAACTACTTCTTGGAGCTTCCTTGGGCGGAGTTCATGCTGTCAGTAACTTCATGACAGAGGCAATAAACTCAGAGCGTATCTCGGGTTATGGACCAGTTGACAAGCCCTCATGGGAACCGACATTCACCGATGAATCACGTCCCTATCAAGGGATCCGAATTTCTCGCGAAGGGTGGAAGTTGGAATACAGCAGTTCTGATACAAAATATCCGTGTCAAAATACGGTTGATGGCAGTAACAAAACTTCCTGGCGTAGTAATTTGAGCTCCAACGGACACAGCATCATAATAGACTTGGAGAAGGAATACTCTGTCAGTGCGCTTGTCATCCTTCCTCCTATTGATACTGGAGATGACGGCCTCATTACCCAACATGAAATATACGTCAGTAACGACAAGAAAAATTGGGAAGAGCCAATTGCATATGGAATGTGGCCAAACGTAAACAGGCAGCGGCTATCCGCATTCGAGCCTACATCCGCTCGATACGTAAAGCTCAATGTGAGCGCTGAGACAGATATCTCATCCTGGATAGGTATCTCCGAGCTCAATATCTATGCGACACAGTACCTCCTTCCTCGAGATCCCAAACTAGGTCTCTGGGGTCCGACCCTTGACTTTCCAGTCGTTCCAGTTGCCGGGGCTCAAGAGGCCTCTGGAAACATTGTTTTGTGGTCGTCATGGGCTTCGGATACGTTTCATTCCACACCTGGTGGTCAGACGGCAATGGCTCGTTGGAGCCCGTCAACAAATGTAGTCTCAAAACGTATCGTTACCAATACTACGCATGATATGTTCTGCCCGGGCATTTCTATCGATGGTACCGGTATGATGGTTGTCACTGGCGGCAATGATGCCTCGGAGACTAGTCTATACGATTCTTCCTCCGACCAATGGATCAAGGCACCTCCCATGAGATTACGTCGTGGATATCAAGCATCCACAACTCTCTCTGATGGTCGTGTCTTTGTTATTGGTGGCTCCTGGGCTGGAGGTTCGAATATTCCAAAAAACGGAGAAGTTTACGACCCCATCGTCGGAAACTGGTCTATGCTTCCTAATGCCACTGTCAAAGAGATGTTGACTGATGATATGGAAGGTCCATGGAGAGCTGACAACCATGGCTGGCTCTTTGGATGGCAGAACGGAAGTGTTTTCCAAGCTGGTCCTAGCCGAGCTATGAATTGGTACTTTACGGATGGAAATGGCAGTGTTGAAGCAGCTGGAAATCGTCTAGACGATGAAGATTCAATGTCTGGTAACGCAGTAATGTTTGATGCAGTGGCAGGAAAGATTCTTACCATCGGGGGATCTCCTGACTATGACAAATCTTGGGCCACCAGTAATGCTCACGTCATCACTCTGAATGGACCAGGAGTATATCCAGATGTTGAACCTGCTGGAACTAATGGTATGATGCATTCAGAGCGAGTTTTCCACACATCCGTTGTTCTGCCCGATGGAACAGTTTTCATTGCTGGTGGTCAGACATTTGGCGTTGCTTTCAATGAAGAAAACGTACAGTTTGTACCTGAGCTTTATGACCCGGTAACCAACACTTTTACCGAGCTTTCGGGAAATAATGTCGTTCGTGTTTACCACACACTATCAATTTTGTTACCTGATGGAAGGGTTTTGAATGCAGGTGGTGGCCTGTGCGGTAACTGCTCTGCCAATCACTATGACGGCCAGATATTCACACCGCCTTATCTCTTGACAGACGATGGGAAACTGCGCGATCGTCCACAGATTATATCACAAGTCCCAGGGCAAATGAACATAGGCGATGAGCTGGATTTGACCACGAGTGTTGCGATACGTTCCGCCTCCTTGATTCGAATCGGTAGTGCAACTCACACAGTCAACACTGACCAACGCCGCGTACCATTACTTTTGAGTAAAGATCATTTACGTAGAAATCGATATTTGACCTCTCCTCCAGCCGACCCTGGTATTCTCATTCCCGGATACTGGATGTTGTTCGTCATAGATGAGCATGGAACACCTAGTATTGCGCAGACTATTTTTATTACCACAGAGAAAACAACTGGTTCTAGAAAAGAAACGCAGAGTCAATGGGGATTTCTTGAATCCTACTGGCGAGGTTGGAAACCAGCACTAATCGCCCAATTTTCACGTCCAGGTCGAGAATTGGTCTAAAATGTCATTGGGAACTCTATATCAAATTGAAAAATGACAGTTGTAACAGTATATATAATACAAGGGTTAGCATCAATAATGGTGTTACTTTACCGGTGTATATAGTCAATTTATAAATTGAGAGTTTTGAAAACAAAATATAACCACTCACGTAGAGAGTGAATTAGAGGAGTACCAAAGTCTTTCGAAGGGCATGCGTCGACATCTTTTGATTCAAAATTGGCCTGAAAGGAAGGTTTCGGTGTAGACTATTGACATTTTCCCATGCAAGTAGATAAACAAATAGATATTAGCATTACTGAGATAGGAGAAATCTATTCACGTCAACGGTCGGTGTGGTTGTTTCCAATTTATTGCTGGTGTAGTGAAAAAATAAGGAAGACTATTCCCCACAATTACTAACAGAATTACCGCGTCAAAAGCGCGTGCGGTTAACCTTATCGAGCAGGCATCGCAGGTGCAATTTACCTATGGCTTTGCGAACGGGATACTACATAGAACCAAACTTAAGAACCTGCCAAATCGCGACAATCATGGGTCACGATGTGCAATTTTGACCATAGATAAGCGATTATGTTGGAGTTACTACAATAGTCAAGACACATCATCGAGACTATTAATGTTTGCCACTATCGACGATCGCAATATATTTACTACTGGTGGAGCATGTTCAACATTAGCAGATTTGTTATGGGAGACAGGCTTTCGCTGCTCATTAGATCAAAGTAGTTGCTCGATGGTGCCAGTTACGTTCATCTTACAAGTAAAATGGTTGGATCCCTCTTATCAAGCTTTCTGAGGACGATTACTGCCGAAGAACTCGTGTTCGCAATTCAAGGATCGGTCCGTGGCTCAAAGGTTTACTGTGCCCGCCAACCGCAGACTCAAAATAAAAATGAATAAGAAAAAGTGGTTTAGCAATGGTGAGGAGGGCGAATTGAAGCACATGCACATCTGTTGTTGATGTAATTGCTGTGGGCAGTCAACTTTAAGATTTACATGACCGCTTGAAAGACGAAGCGACTCGGAAGTAGTGACTTGGTGTTGCAGGGATAGCAAGGGTGTCAGACGAAGAATCTCCAAGTCTTGCTACGACTCTGGTTGTCCCGAGTCCTACAATTATTGGGCATTTTTCCGCGTAGTTATTTAATTTTATAGCATTCCCTTTCAAGCGAAGGATTCTATCATTTGGAGACAAGACTCTTAAACGTTCAGTGACTGTACTGTCGTTACTTTTGTATGGTCTAATTCTTTTCCATCAATATTCGTGTTAGCCTTGTTGCGTCTATTCACCGTTCACAACAAATCTACTTCGTACTCAAATTTGAGTCAGGCCCAGCGATCATGATGACTGGAAGCAAGATTCTTCATCGTGTTATTACCTGCCTGACATGCTCAAGATGGAATTCTTTTTCTCTTTTAGATAAACATCGGCAGCTTCAGAAACACGAATCAGCTATTAAACTAAATCTAACATTCAACTCGCGTTTGCGCACTCCCTATCCACCCGGGAAATTTTCACCGAGTAATTATTTACTCGCCCTATCTCACTTACATTTCACTGCACTTCATAGAGTGATCTCCAACTTCATACGCCACCTAAGCTTATAAAGCTCTCCTTAAGGATTTTCAACAATACCACGTGGGTGCTTCCTCCTTCCTGCAGCTTTAGCCCCTGCTCATAGTTGAAAGTCGCTGTCAGTTCCATCGCTATGCAACTAAACTATCCCGCCATTCTTAGGGTTCTCGCAGCAGCCACTTTGGTTGTTCCAACAGCCCTGTCCCTTCCTGGATTTTTCGATAAATCTCAGCAGCTAACATCCAAGTTTACCTGCGATCAACTCTCTGAAAATTCATGCCTCTACACCTTCTATGCCGATCAGAAATCTGCGATCACCACCATGGTAGATAAAAATTGTACCTACTATAGTCAAGACCATGTTGTTTTCAACAGGACTAAAGGGATTCTTGGCTTGGACGGTGGACCAAAAGCTCTGAAAGATCATGTCTGGGCGTTGTCAAATTTCACTCGGTTGAATGCACCAGAAGCGGTAGTTAGCTTTACATCACCGCTGGCACCTGAACTCCAGTGGCAGGGCAAAACTTACAGCGTCTTAAGACTCTTAAATGCAAACATTGTTAAGCCTCCAACTGTTCCCTTGGGTATAGACCCGAGGGCTTCAGATGTTTATGCGCTGGAGATCCCATGTTAAACACGAGAAGACTTGTTCATTTTTGGTGGCAACTATATACCAAGCTGTATGAAGATGAACCAGATTAGTATTCTCGCTTTCGTTTTCGCTTTCGCTTTAAAGAGTGGCAATGGGATTCGGGGGTAGAGGAAAGGGTGAATACACTTTGTATGCAAATAGAATTCTGCCGGCGCCCTACGGCACATTCATAATAGGCAAAACGTGATTTTTATATGGCTTTCCTGTAAACCTCGTTGCATATTTCTGTGAATGCATAACAAACGTTCGTGAATATGATCTTATAAAATCGATCACTGGGGCCAACACAACCATGATAAATGGATCGAGTCTCCAATGATCTTTGGAGATGTCAGCCTGCATGTTACATGCACAAAATCAGAATGCGAACTATAAAATGAAAATTCACATTACACATGGAAACCTTGGTTGATCTATGACAATACGAAGTACGAAGTACTATAACCATGGGATATCTGCGAGTACACATAATATTTAAATCACAAACATCGTTCAAGGCCTTTTTAATTACTTCAATCTTATGATACCACCAACAATCAACAACTCAGCTTAATATATACACTCTAGATGACAGTTGTGCTGCAGACCTCTCCGCAGTCTGGGTTGCCGGTGTCATTCCTCCTACTCCTCCGCCTTTTATTAATGATTCATTGTCACTAATCTATAAATCAATAATTTTGATTCATTACCTATACCTTGGTTCCTTCATTCATGGAAGTTCACGCAATCTTTGTCTTTCCCGACGTAATCACCACAACCACAATTTTCTCAAAGTCACTTTGGCATTTAACAACACGGCCTTGTGGGCATTTTTCCTCATATTTCAGACACCTATCATAGTCAAAAACTGCTCCAAACCCTTCAGCATGCATCTACATCTTTTTATCCTTCTATGGACATTATTGTTCCAAGGAGCCATCTCTATTCCTACCATTATTTCTTTGGCATCTAGAGCAAATAAGTGCTACGAAGACTCCTCAAAGATTCTTAAGCCCGATAAAACCTGCGATCAGCTGCCTGAAAATACTTGCTTCTACACCGTCACCACCTCTTTGAAGCCCGAGTCAGCAACCACCTCGATCACGGATTGGAATTTTGTTTCGTATGGCGAGGATCATTTTGTCTTTAACAGAAAAAAAGCTTTGTTTGGTATGGATGCTGGTCCGGTGGAAGTCAAGGATCATATTTGGGTTGTCTCAAATCTCACTCGTTTGAATGCACCAGAGTCTAATATCGGTATCAGCGGTTGGTACACTGGGTCTTGTAGCTTCCCGCAACTGAAGTGGCAGGGAAAGAGATATCTAGTGTACTTGTCAGAGAGTATTGAAGACGCCTTTCTGGGTCTCATCCCACTCGTAGTTAATAGCCATGTTTATCGGATCGAAATACTATGCTGATACCAAGCACGCCTCGCCATATTGGTATTAGTTGTCCACATAGTCACCGAGGTGTTGGATTAGGCATTGTCTAGGCACACATGTACAGTATTTTACAGAAATTCATTCGTTGATATTTAATTTCTCTCAATGTGATCTGGAGCTTGTTTGTGCATAAGGTGATCTTCAACATAAAACAAGGTTTTCAGCTGCCTTGAGTTCGTAATAGTCATCGAGAAAGTCTCATAAGCTCCGACTGTCGGATCTTAAATACCTCTACATGTTTTTTCTCATATTCACTACATACCTTGTCAAATCGCAATTCAATAATGACTCTGTCTCGATGAAATAATGATTCATGGCCTCCGAGTCATACTCGAATCCTTATTTTCTCGACGACACGCGATATTTAACACTATGACTCCGTTAGCTGCAACAGTCATCAACATCGTTGCTTTCAATCAACTTAACCTCTCTAGCCTTGTTATTGTGCTATATCCAATCTGAACCACAATCACAACTAAGATAAAATCGAGTTTACTGCATCTCAACATTTAACTCGCCCAACTACTGCAACCACAAGCTAAGAAAAAATAACCACCTCGCCTCTCCATAGTCCATCGTCAATACAACGTTAACGTCGAAGTCATAAATACAAGCTATCAGTTTCGACAAAAACCATCCGCCGGGCCAAGCCGAGGATCTATCACATTATGTAAGTTTAAAGGCACTTTGATCTTATCAGAGGCTTCATAGCTAATATTTTGTGCGAAAAGATCAACATGAAACACATCATCTTTTCCCAAATCCTTCTGTGTATCATTTCCCTTGTCCTTGGATCTCCCCTTTCTACACCATGGGTTCGCTCGCAATCAAAGTGTGGCAATTCTGATGTCAACACCTGCACAGTCGAAGTTTACGTCCCCGTCAACAAACCCAATCAAAACAAATTTGCCTTCATAGTCACCCTTTTCGATTCAAATTGTGATTCAATGTGTAGTGATACTTTTGTACATCGTAACACTAGGATCACATGGGTACCACCCTGTCTCAAAGGTGGAAATATGACCGTTCAAGTTCAGGGGGATGGAGAGCTGCAGCCAATTTATCATAACGGCTCTCCGATATATATCGGAATTGTGCCCGATGGAAGCACTACAATAGTAACACATCGCGATACATTTCAGTGTCCAAATGCAAACGCTGCTCTTGCAATAAGATCGATTTCTGATTCTGGAGAAAATTGTGAAGAGGCTGATCACCCTCCACCCCTCTACGACTCATGTTATCAAGCGTGGAGACTTGCACATGCTCCTGCAGTCGGAACCGGTCATACGGGTGATTAATGGACGGCAATGTTTAGCTAGCTAGAGATGACGGTTAAAGATGAATTTCAGCCGTGAAGTTGGGTTGTCTATTTACCGGATAGTGATTGACTTCACTGGATTTTAGATACTTATTGATACGCTGATGTTTACGCGCTCCTATTCTTACCCACATGAGTGATCTTGATGGAACGTTGTGAAATTGATGAATTCAGTCGACTGTATCAGAGTGTATCAGTCATGTCCAATTGTCTTGCTCTTCTTACTTCACTTCACTTTTCGAGTCATCGATGAATGGCTGGTATTCTTTATCATTGCCACTTATGTATATGTGTCTTCAAATACCTTCTGACTCGATTATCGAATCAATTATATGTATAATAACACCCACGAAAGCATTTGCTCTCTCTCTCATATCACTGCAACACAGCTTCAAGTAAAACCACAAGAACACAAGAAACTTCAGACAACTACACTTTATTCGGAATACATTTCATTCGACGTCTCTAAATTGATCTTTCCGAAACAACCCCTTTAGATCTCGCAAAGTACCTGAACAAACGGAACAATAAACGCACGCCGGTCAATTTAAATTTCAAGCGAGTTTAGGTCCTTCCATAGAGACATCGATATTTTCTGTGTACTTCCAATTCTAGACCTTTCTCCTTTTCATTCAAATTCCAAGCTATGTATCGAAATGAAGCTTTCGTTGTTTGTGATAACTAATTGCAGATATCTCTAGCCGATATCCTCTTGTTCCAAACCAGCATCACCAATATGAGCTTTCTTCCGCTCTTCGCAACCACGATTCTGGCCTCGTGCGTTATTCTGGTTGTATCTGCTATTCCTCAACATGCCTTTTTCCCTCCAGGATTTTTTCATGAGTCTTGCCCCGCCAACCAGATGATGCTTCAAAGTGCAACATGCGCCTCACCGTAACGGTCTACGATACCAATAATGGTAAGGTGGATCTCGAAATCACGGGTCCTGAAGGCTGCTCCGATTGCGGCGTTGACACCATTGGCAACGTTATTCCATGGGCGGCTAAAGGTAACAAGCCTAGATGCTTTGACGACAAGAGAACTTGGGACCTTACCGTGGGTGGAGACGGTCAAGTCTCAGCGGTTGTCACTTGGGGTGGTGTGAAATATAACGTCAACAGGGTTGATGCAGGAAATATGAATGGCAAGGCAGCTAGAATTACAACTTACAATATGCCGTTCAAATGTACAATTTGATCGGAGACAGGTTGAAAATTGGAGATTGGATATTGCATTGAGATACAGATAACATTTCTCATACTATTAGATAGATAGTATTACGTTGATGTTCAAACAATTCGGAAATTTTGTGAATAACTACAGTGAAAGTAGTGTAGAAAATTCTGGAGCGGAGGACTCAAAAATAATTAAGAAAGGATCTTTGTCAAAGTCTTAGGTTACTTGAGACAATATCAAACGAAGTTTTCAATTTGAATATCATAATTATTCTTGATGCAAGATTGGGGTGTTTCTTATCTTCTATATTCGTGCATATAATCCAGACCCAGGATTTGAGATCGCTAAGATAGGAGTCATTCCACGCGATTTGAAAAACTCGTGATTTGAACCACTTGTAGGATGGATACTTAATAACGATTTTGGGCTTCAACTTTACTTCTAATTCCAGTGAGATCCAATCACTACTTGTGCAGCCAGAATTCATGCGGTTCTGACAGCAAGAGATTCTGTTATTCTACAAGGCTTCCCTATCCTCGCATTTCAAATCGATCAGTTCGTGAAGTAGAGCTTGCACTTCTTCCCGTACGAGCTTTGTCGTTCTAATATAACTCATTGAGCGAAAACTCAATTCCTTACATTCGTGACAGAGCTAATCATTCACACAAGCTTGGGCCACTGAATTGTCACCGGTCTGGAACTTCGATCTCGTAAAAGTCAGGTAGCATAGCAACGAACGTATCGTCGATCGTATATATCAAAGATTAGTTGTAGATTGTGTTATTCGTGTTCTATGTCATAATCTCAAGATTTAGTTAGTCTAGTCTAGTATCGTGTGTCTACACGTGTTCTAATCGTCCAAGAGTCGCTTTTTCCACTTTCCAATGCCAAATCGGGGTATACAACTCCTTTATCTTAACCAACCCAAACAAGAATGGAAATCAATTTTTTTTTCTTCCACAACTACAGGCTCATTTTAATGTTTCTCCGGCCCTACGACCTTCTCGCCCTTCCCACTCTCCAAATCCCTCTGCCTACCAGCCTCATGCTCCACCACAATCTCACTCTCGGCCACACTCCTACTACTTTCCTCCTCCTGCTGTTCTTCATTAACAATCGGTTTCTCGTCCGGTCTTTGCAATCCTTTATCTTTGATCAACACGCAAAGACACAAACAAACTCCAATAATCGGTACCCAAAGTAAAAACACACTTCGACTCGCTCCCATATACGCATCCAATACTTCATTTTTCTGTCCCGTCGTCAATTCATTCAAATTCGGAACGCTCAATATCGATGCTAAAATTGTGTCTTTAAACCCTGCTGGTAAAGGAGTTGCTAGCGTATTCAAACGGGACTTTATGGAATTTGAGAAAATAGCCGAGGAAATCGCTAGACCAATTGCACCACCCAGCGCACGTAGAAAATTTCTGGTAGAGATAACGACTGCTCGATCACGCTTGGTACAATGTGCCTGCGCTGCTATAAGGGTAGGCTGGAAGACGAATCCCACACCTGCACCTTCGGTTAAGAGGATTAAGACTATCTTCCACTTAGGTATCTCCCGAGAGAACAGAAGAACCAGGCCTGATCCTAGAGTCCAAAGTATGAACCCGATCCAGATGATCTCGCCATAGCGTTTAGTCCTGGAAATATATTGCCCGGATACAATACTGAAGCTTGATTGAGTGGCGACGAACGGAATGGTGAGTGCGGCCGACATGAGAGGTGAGTATTGGCGTGCGTTCTGGTAGTATATTGGGAGGTAGTAGAGGTGCGAGTAATAAACTATACCAAAGAGGAAGTTTTGGGTGAGAATAGCGAAGACAGCAGGGTTCTTGAAAAGGTTCAAAGGCATCATTGGCATAACGGCAAACTTCCATTCCACAATGAGGAAAGCAACTAAACAGATACCACCCAGTGTGAGCATGGAAATCACCATGGGACTGGACCATTCAAAATAAGTACCACCGCCCGAAACAGGAATCAGAATAAGCATAATGGCTGCGGTCACAAGGACGATTCCTGGGTAATCGATGACTCGAATTTTGGTCGCTGTAGAGCCATGGACTTTACTTGGAGGGAGTGTGAATGCCACCATAATACCTGATAGCACTGCCAGCGGGCATATACACCAAAATAGGCCTCTCCACGTCGAATTCTGAACAAAAGCGGCTGCCAAGAATGGTCCAATGGTATTACCCAAACCGACACATGATCCCAAGATCCCTTGATACCTAAAGTTCATTAGTTAATGGCCCACGGAACTCAATCTCCAATGCCCCAAACTACAGTCCGACAATCAAGGACTTTGAATTTTTGAATCCACCAAAACTTTCAGATAGTCTGAAAAATGCTAATTTCAGTCTAAAAATTGAACTTCTTTCAATCATTATAAGCGCCTGGTTGTCGAACAGCAGTCCGAAGTATTGGATAATTTGAATGTAATAGCTAGGATATACTTACTTTCCACGATTCTCCAGAGTAACCACATCTGATACAATCATCATAGCCAATGCCATGATCCCACCAGTCCCCACACCAGAAATGCCCCTAAAAACATAAAGTTGGGGACCCGTCTGCGCGAACCCACAAAGTAAATCTCCTAGCGCCAATAATCCCACAGCAGTGAGGAAAACCACTTTCCTTCCCAGGATATCTGATATTCTTCCATAAAGAACTTGGAAAACTGTATTGGCAATCAAACTTGAAGTGCCAGCCCAAGAAATTGTAGTTGCGGCATTAAGATCAGCTCCAATTGTTGGTAATGCTATACCAATGGAGTTTTGGTCTATAAAAGTGATGAGGAGAGCAAATGCTAATCCACAGAAAACTACTATTAGTTTTCCTTTGGGGAGAATATTCGTCTCAATACGGACCAATTCATGGCCATTAGGTCCTGCCATCGTAGCCAATGAAATACGATAGTTTCAAAGTGATATGATGATGATTATTGATGAAAGGAAAATGTAGGGGAAAGAGAAACGACGTAAAAAATATCGAGATATTAGACCTCGACTTAAAGAACCATTGAGTTCGCTATCAAGAAACTTACAGGGGAACAATTCTAACGGATAATCGGCACTTACCCGCGTTTGTTGTAGATCTGAATCAAGCTTTTCACAAGCGCCCCTTCATCTTGCTGGTCTTTTTTCGTTTAGATACATCCTTTTTGACGTTTGACAGGCGTCAACGATTTGACATGCTTGATAGAAGGGGCAGTAATATACATCTCGGAGGCAAATTTCGCGTCTGCTTGCATAATCAAGCTGTATCAAACCCCAAGAGTGTTCAAATCGCACGCTTGTTGAGCAAAATTTTTAAGATTCTGCGAAAAGCGGTGTTGCGAATGCGACTATCGGATGAAGGATTACCCCCATAGCCTCTGTGGTCTGGATTTGTTGATAAGAAATGACTCGTCGTTGATTTGTGGAGAGTGAAATTTTCCTAGCCACAATATAGATAGACAAGTGGGGATGTCTTTGCGGGACCGAAACTTTGACTTCGATCTTCTTGAAGAGGAATGTCATATGTGATATAACGTTCCAAAAATCCTTTTGGAAAGATGTGATAGGATTAATGGGACAAAAATACTGCCAGGCCAAGAAGATATGAAATAGGACCCGTCGTTCTATTCTACTTACCACCATCACCCACACAATAAATCGTCGATTTGATGGAGATTTGATGAACTCCATAGACAAAATGTCGCTCAACGATGTACCCATGAAACCACAACCTTGAAGTTGCATCCTCAACAGCCTTGCGAACAGTCCAAGGCCTAATGGGGCAGAGATTCATTTCCATGATACGGAAGCAAGACCGCCTGGTAACATCAACTTTGGAGGAGATATTAGTGATGAGATCCAACTAGAAGCGACATTGCGAGATCTCATTCAAACGGGGGTTCGAAAGGTAAACCTCACCGTCGAGCTCCAAATGAAACCATTACGTGTTATTTCCTAGGACTTGGAACGTGACTTGCTTTGAGCATAAATGGAATCGCTCGATTGTTGGTCAGAAACACATAGCATGAACATGAATTGCCCCCGAAAGAAAATGATTTAACACAATCAGAAATCTTGACGCGTCTAAGTATGACTCCACGTCGTCTGGAATAATATCGGATCGCGAAAATGTCTTGTCCTCGTACAACAATCTCATGATACCGAGATTCACACCACAGCCTTGCATGCCAGCCTCGGCTTTAAGCGAAAAGGCTTGCGTCTCGTCCTCTGCCTACCTTTCCATAACATATCTACTTTCTTGTGTACCCTCATCCTTATAATTATATTGTCTGATTTTTATCTCAAAATATTCTAATTCAGAACCTTTACATGACACGGTGAAGATTGAAGCCCAACTCCAAAATGAATCCTTATGAAGGTAAGCTCCCATCCCTCTTTGCCCCGCCTTTCAGTTCCTTTCGATATTTTGATGAGCTCCTGTTAACATACAATAGTCGAACATAACATAAAAGCGTCTTCGCAGTCGTCTCGACCTCGTCGTCGTCCTTCTATGTCCTCTTTCTTCAACCAATTGTCGCAATGTGAAACTTCGACTTCTACTACTGATCCAAACTGGCATCACAATAATCCGCATGCTGTTCCTACTCCCGTATGTTCTTGCCCTCTTCCTCAAATCAAGACCCTACCCTCCGGTCAATTCGAAAGCTAATTCGTATGAACAGGTCGACGTAGCAGCCTCCTACCGCCTTCTCCAAGATCAATTTCTAACCCTCCGCACCAATGACCCCTCCTCCACCACAGCCCCACTTCTCGACCTTCTTATCTCCTCCATAACATCTCAAATCGACTCTCCGCCCACCACCATCTCCGGATGTTCCCAAGCCTATCTCGATACTATTGATCGCATTCCTCGTTCCTCTCTAAAGGCGGATGAAACATGTCCGATCTGCGGCGAGAAGTTTCTGGACGACCAATATTGCTTAGTCGTTGTGTTACCATGTCATCAAACTCATAAATTTGATTTAGAGTGTGTCGGCCCGTGGCTAAGATTGAATGGGACATGCCCTTTGGATAGGAAGAAGGTTGGAGACGGGGAGGAGAGGGGGAAGGAGGCGGAGAGGGAGAGAGAGAGGATGAGGAGGGGCGTGGAAGGCTTGGGATTCGGCGCTGATGGGGAGGAAAGGAAGGAGGAGGAAGAGAAAAGAAGAAAGAGGGAGGAGGACGAAGAAAGCGATGGCGATGATGGGATGTACGCTTAAGGTCCTATGGAGGCAGTGATTGCGAAAGAGAAATGTATGGGTGCATTGCAGGCAAGGATAGATGATAGCACGACCCGAAGTCGAGAAAAGTGCAAAATCTGGAATCAATGCAGGTGCGCACTTGGCCCATAGAAGAGCCGCGGCGAGAATTAGGGACTTATAGGGAGACGTCATCTTCTGACACAAAATGGCGAGAGACAGATATCAGGGATCTGGAACATCCTATTGCAAATAGTAAACAAACGACGATATAGCTCTCCATCATATACCATGGTATACTTGAAGCTCATACATGTCCAAAGTTACATACAACGGTACACTTTGTATATCATTTCGATTCTAACTCTCTTTCTTCTCATATGCATGTACCATGTGTTGGGCTTAACCGACTAATGAGTGGTCTGGTTCAATGAGATAGAGAAGGGGAACGTTAGTTCAATAGCACAACCTACGATTGAATTTATGGAATGTATATGTCCATACACATCTTATTAATATCACGTACAATAGTCTACCTTCAATATCATGTCAAACAAAAACATCAACATCAGTTGTATCTCAGACCAATCCCCCTTTCAACCCAGACTTAAAAGTAGAAAAGCATCTCAGATGAAGGTAAAATAAACGATCTATTATGAACTATCCATTCTTATGAATCTCTTGCTGAATCAAACGCAAGAGAACAATAAGGTCTGTCTTGAATCTTCGCAATCCCTATCTCTACATCCGAAGAATGAAGAACAAATTTCAATATGTTGAATACGCCACGCCAAAGATTCTGTATGCATGCACGTTCTTCATATCAAATTACACATCCCCGCCCATCACTCTAATATTCTCAAAACTTCACATTTGTGTATATCCACTCGATGCTCCTTGCACCCAATTCCCAATCTTCGAGCTTACAAAGGGTATCTAAGCTTGAACTGGAACGGCACTTTGTTGGGCCAACATGTACTTGTAAGCACCGAAAGCCGCAAGTCCACCAATGAGAATGATAGCGTAAAGACCGACTCCCATACCGGCTTCGCCTTGGGAGGAAGATGTATAAGCGGTTGCTGCTTGGGCTTTTGGGGCTGGGTCGCCTGGCTAGGGGGGTGTCAGTTTCTATGATACACCAAGCCGAGGGTTCATGTGATTGATGGGACTCGGGATTGGAAATTGGAGGCTTGTTTGGGAAATTGAGGGGAGTGAGGGGAAGATAACGGCAGAGGTGAAGAAAGATGGGAGAAAAGGTGATAGAAATGGGGGAAAACGAGGGAAACATACCATGCGCTTCAAAGTACCAACAAGTAAACCATCAAGGATTTCTCTTGCCTCGTCACTGTGTCCAACATCCTCGAATGCTTCAGTTGCGTCTTGTCCGCCAACATCAAGGAGGACTTCTTCTCCACCACTATTAGAACATGCGAATTAGCAATCTGGCCTGAAGGAATACGGAGTTGAGTTCCGCAAAGACAATAAGATAACCAAAGATTGAGAGACCGCAGGCAGATTTGAAGCCAGAAGAGGATGAACTAGTTTCCAGAACATAGAGTGCAATAACCAGATGTAAACCCTTATCCCCAACAATATAGCATTCGGTCTCCGGTACAATTCTCCATTCTCAATCCTTCTGCAATGAAGCATAGCATCCCACTGCAATCCCCTCTCCATCTCCTCATATCCAAATCCGCCTGCCCCTCTTCGTCCCACCTTCTGCAGAAGATAATTCTCAACAAGACAAAGAGTCAACTTACGGATGTTCATCAACAAAAGCCGAAGTGTCGTAAACTTTATCATGAATAATCATAAACAAATCCTTCTTGGTCTTGTGTTCGGCTGCCTCAGCATATGTGTATTCCTTTGATTCCGACATCTTTTCTGTTGTATGTAAAGTATGAAATCCTTCTATATTGCTTCTTTTTCTGGATCCTCAAAAGTGTAGTCGTGTTCGTAAATCGTTCTCGATTCAATTACCTCGTCTGCGAATAATTCCTGGTGGGCTTCTTGTATAGTAAAGGACAAATAATTCTTTTCCGAAATCCGAAGCACAAGAAAATGAGTTAAGGGTAGTACGATGAAATATTGGCAGTTTGCAATTCACAAAAAATGAGACAACAACTAATTCATTAACTCACAGCACAGGCTCCATTTACTATCTGGACTAATAACTTTAAAGCTCGGAGGCCGATCTGACTCTTTGCCAACAAACGCTAATCAATATTCGGTTAAGAATTGCTCAGCACTTATTTCCCTGTTGCTAATTGGTTGATTAAAAGGTACTCCGCGGAATGAGGGGTGCTTTGAGTTGATTCCGACCTGATGAGCCGGTACGGTGTGATACTGCGGTAGATGAAGGATCGAAGTGAACATGATTGGTGATTACTAGGTAGGTGAGAATGAGAGTGACATGAAGGGAGGGTTAATATGTGTGAGATTTGGGGCAGTGGATTATTCTGGAAAGTATATTTGGAAAAGAAGAGGACACCTTCCGAGCTTCCGTGGAAATCCTCGAGTACAGAGTAGATGAGTGTAAATTTGATATTTGATTCTTCCCTTGTCACTCGAGTATCATCCATCGACGGTTGTCTTGATATCCGATCCGCATATCCTCATGTTGAAGTTTTGTAACAAGAAGGGAAGAGAAGAGTGGGCGATGAATACGTAAAGTACTGAAAAGACCCTCGAGAGAACATGGTCCCAAATTCCACTCCACATGAACGTAATCAATCCACTCTACAATTCTATATCCCAATTCGGAAAACTTTCCATTCAACTTGTCATCGCATGCTCTCTTGCTAACAATCAGATCATATCAATCCCCACCTCACCTGCCCTTATTATCTACTCCCGACTCATATCTCATATCTATCTTCTAGAACTTCCACCACCAATATCTTGCCCTAACCTGTAACCTGCAATCTTATCCCATTCAATCTTTTGTCTGGTGATGGGCAATTGTCTTCTTAATCCTTTGAATGCTCCTTCGCTCAAATTATTGAATCCTTTATTGATCTCTTCCTGGTATTTCTTTTCAGCGCCGGCAATTTCTCGTACGATGCTGCTAGCCGACGATAATGCTGTTGCTGAAATAGGTTTGGTAGTAAGAAGTCGAACATTTCCATCTTCATAGTAGTGAACATCGACCTTGATGCTGCCAGTGAGAGAGGAGTTCAAGGTTTCATAGATATACAACGAGCGCCAGCGACCGTTCCTACCTGATGTTAAATATCGATATGGCTATAGAGATGATGTACATAGAGACTTACCAGAAGTTGTTTGGGCTATATTTATTAGCAACAACAAGTATTGCGATCTTCGAATCGTTTTCAATGGGAAAAGCGCCGTATGATGCATTTGGAAAATGCTCTGCTACATGCGGACCCAAGCTCTTAAGGATCGACTTACTACCTTGTGTCAGAACATAAACTATGTACCGCTAGGGGTACTTACACAAGATCTGCTTGACTGCCCTCTAGGACATAACTTTGCACCGCACTCGCTTTCTTTATCCCATTGTCAGTCTGTGTTTTGCAAATCAAGGTATGAATATAATGCATACCTGGGTAGTGTGATCGAAAACAAAACTAGATGAACTCTCGACATCATAGTATCTTCCATCCCCCAGAGAGTTATAGGAGCTGATTATAACCTTCATGAAACCGTCAGTCCTCCTTCACGGGGTGCTGGTTTGATCTGCCATCAAGAAACTAACATTTTGACTGCTTCCGGGAAGTTTGACTGTAGCAAACTGTTCCTCGTTATATCTCTCGAATGCAGGACCGAGTTCCGAGACAAGATTTGGTGTGTCGATGGTCAAAGCCTTGATATCTGTAGATTCCCCGTACTTAGTCTAATGATGGGCAATATGCGAAGGAGAGAGGTATTTGTGAAGATTCGTACCAGCTATAACATCTGCCAGCTTTCAAAGAATGTCAGTTGGTAAAGAGCTTGGGTTCGTACAAAGGATACATCATACCTCTCCTGGTGGAGCTCCTTCTACAAAGGCAGAGATGGTTTCTATTTGCGAGGACATTTTGAAAGAATCTGAAAAATGAAAATAACGATTAACGCCAAGTATCTCAAGTAAATGTAAACCTGTATCAATAATTGTCCTTGCTGGCTCGAATGGATGCGCTGGGGTTTCGAAACATAAAGTTGAATCAATTGGGCAAGCACGCGAGGCTGAAGCTCAACCCCTCAAGCCCCTCAATTCGTGGCGGTGTGTTGGCTCGTGCAACAAGGGGACAACTTCACATTTTCTTCTGCTTCTTTCATTTTTATACCTCGCTTTGCCTTCGTTCCAATCATGCTGACAAGTGTGTATTCTAGCGGTTAGGATGAAGGAATCTCTATCAGTGGGGATGAAGAATTATCGAACTCATGTTGCACTTTCTTGAGAGCATTCAATTCTCAATACTCACCAATGGAGATTTGCGCCAACATCGATATATTGATGACGTTACTAGCTATCACGTTACTAGCTATCTTCTCTTCATCAAATCCGCGAAGGCCGCTGAGATGAGGCTTCGGTATCCAAAGCTTCAAAGTTCTCTTAAAATCATTCAGGAACCTAGTTTTTGGTTCTAGATTCTTCAGCTTGTACAAGCTGGGTATGGCCACGGAATAAAGTTTACTCCTAGTCTCCCCGGCGCTGAATTTAGATATGGCCACATGTCTGTTTTATTCCTCTCGATCTTGTTTTACTACCCATTATGGCGTAATCGAGTTGTAATATTCCAATCCCAAGACCATACGGTTGCAGATCCTGAGAATTCTTTCTAAAAGTAGCTTTGTGCTGGCAAGGAATTATTCTTCGCTCAGTGTCGCTAAAAGTTGGATTTATATCTCCTTGCATATTTCCTCCTGAATGACTTGTTACTAGACACAACAAATGCATACTTTAGATTTGGCGAGTGTCCACTACTGAGTTCGCTCAGTCGGTCGCATTCTGAGAAGAGGTTGCCGCTCCGCTCAAATATGAACATTAGTGATGAGTGATTTCAGATATACATTTCGCTGTTCTGGCTACTGGCAGCGCCGATGTCACTTGTGTTTGAAACTGTGAGAGAAGAAATGATAAATTTCAGCCACAAGAGTACGTTAAGTGGCAATAAAGGAGCGTATATGGTGCCCATTTGCGATTGCGGTTTACCGATGCTTATTTCACAATAAATCCCACTGAAAGAATATACGTATGATCGCATGAAATTGAGACCTGAATTGGTTCTGGGATCGTCTACCGGCAAAGAGTATCGAGAGCGAGGTAATACTTCTTCCAAGGCTAAACTAGGTACGCGAAAAAAACATTAGATCAAAAAGGCTTCCATGCATCAGTTCGATGTCAATGAAGCTTTTGCAATTCCATTACCTGCCCTACGCGTAAAGCTCAAAATTCTTTCGGGTTGGAGAAGTACCAAGCCTTTCACTAATTCCGGCTCGAAATTGTAACAATCATAATTAGCAGCATTATCAAGATAAGTCTTTGCTTCTGCCCTTGTTAGAATTACATCCAGTAGCTGTGAATTGTGCATCATCTCCGGAGCTTTCAATTATCACATTCAGCGATCATCAGGAGTGGCGTCTATATACCGTATATAGGCATTTATACAGTTAGCAATTGCGATGGAGACATTGCGTTATCTTGGTGACCGGTGGGTCTTTAAATTATAGTCTCATCTTGGTGCAGATCAATTGTTTAACTGATTTGGCTTGTGTCAACTGTCAAGCAACTTAGCAAGACCCGCTTTTACTTACCCAAACGAACTAAGTATATGATGCGTTGTGATTCTGCGCAAGTTTGCATTTCATTCTAACTCTTCTACTCTTCTACTCCTCAATTAATTCCATTTATACACACATTCAACAACACAAATCCAAGGTAAATTCATCTGCACTCCAGCAGCAGACGTGACAGCCGTAGCCCACTACTATCTTGTCGACTAGCACCTCAACGTCGTTCTAAGACTCTTTCCTAAATAGAGTCTTGAACAATCAATTGCATGATTTTTAGAGACCAGTCCACAGATTACAATTGATCACTAGAATCATGGCGATAACTACACCGGCTCCTCAGGAAATCTGCACGAGCTGTGGAGATGTCTCCAGCAACGCCATTCAAGTCCCATGCAGTCACCACTATTGTCTCACCTGTCTCGAACAATTCTTCGAATTGGCATTAACAGATCAATCAGTTTTCCCTCCACGGTGCTGCAGCAGAGCGATCCCTATTGTCAGTGTCAGCTCCTTTCTCAAACCTATCGTTGTGCAAACATTCGAGAAAAAGAAGATCGAGTTCGAATCGCAGTACAAAGTCTATTGCTCGTCCAAGCGTTGCTCAACTTTTATTCCTTCCTCCAATATCGTCAAGGATATAGGTACATGTCCCAAGTGCAATGTGAAAACACATACGTTGTGTAAGTCAAAGGCACATGCTGGGGAATGTCTGCAGGATGCGTCAACAGAAGAGGTCCTTAATCTTGCGAGAGAAAACTATTGGCAAAGATGTCGCAAGTGCTGGGCGTTGGTAGATTTAATTGATGGCTGTTATTTCATGACGTATGTCCGCATTTTTGGCTTTGTGTATTGCAACCAATCACTAATACTGTAGAAACTAGGTGCCGCTGTGGAGCTCATTTTTGCTACTATTGTGGAAAGGGATTGAGATCATGGACCAGTCATTCTTGTGATCCCAGAAAACGTCAGCTCCTCGCTCGTCCTAAACCTAGGTCTAGGTCATGGTCGCGGTTATTTACACGGATTTTCCGTTCAAGTAAATTTTGAACTTGGGATATGGGATGTTAGTCGAGGGGGGGGGGGGTAATGTATCTACGAATATCGCGCATAGGATGTCCTATCATGCATGCATGCAATATTAGATGTTAGACTCAATATATGGGGATATGGAACAGTTTCATTGGAAGGTCAATAATTTTTAATACTGGCTCTTCTATCTCATGGTGGGGCTACTAATGACATGCCATTTATTGCTTGGAAATGGGGGCAGGCGCATAGGCATACATTTGTCATTTCTATCACTAAAAGAGATCATGGAGTCTGTGGAAATTGGGCAGATGTACTTAATTAGTCGAGGGATTCTCTGATAAAAAATCAAATCACGGGTCACATCGGTTCACTTAATTTCGTGATAGGGTACTAAACATGTTGCAGGTAGAACCAAAGATCATCGTTTTTGTGACGTGACGTTGAAACCCATCAATTTTGGTTTTGGATCATAGTCACCGCTGGAAATATTCTCTGGGCGTAATTCTGTCCACAGCACAATCCTGGATAGGGTAAGGGAATTCAATTGTAACTCCTTCTCCCAACCAATACGAAATAGCACAATTGCAATTATTATATACCAATTCACATATCCAGTAGTACGCCATTTTTCTACTCAATAGCATCCCTTCGTTCCCCGCAAATGAAATTCCTCTCCCAACTCAAAGAACCGCCTCACATCCACCCAGCCAACAGACCGTCTTGCAGCGAACCCGCCCCTAATAATACTTACTACCTAGCCTCTCCCTAATTGCCCATTCCGCCGCCTCCAATTGCTTGATCGATTCATCAAATTTCCCCAATAATATCTCCAGACGTCCTCTCCCAAATGCACACTTTCTCTTCGTGCCACCCTGTTTCAAAGTTTGAATCACATGCCCAAACACTTTATAGATTCCATCCGCTTGCCCCAAGAGACTAATCGCTTTTTTTGCTACTTCTTCTAGCTCATATACTGGTGCGACCCTAAATCTTTTAGGCCCCGAAGCCTTCACCAGCCAACTATCCTTCACTTCTTTTACTAATCCCGGCAGTCCACCGGTCTTACCCCCCCGGTAGGAGGTAAATTTATATCTCAGTTCCGGTATTCTTCTGTTTCGCCAGACGTCAATGTAATTTTCCATTTCAATCGTACTATTTATCCAATTGCTTTCCTTAAAGTGCACCTTCGATTCCCACGGATCGCGCAATAATATCCTTTTGGCCCATTGTTTCCCCAATCCACTCAACCACCCCCTATTTGCTCCTCCCAATCTGTTATATTCCGCTTGAAATATCGCACGCGAAGCTTGCAGCTCTTCCTTGACACTCGTTATCGCTTTGTCCCTACTATTCTCAAATGACTTCCAATGGTAATCTATTCCATCCAATTCAGACAACAAGTTGCTCACAGCGCGCGTATGATGTCTCGAATTACGACTTGAATCCGCATATAGATCATGATATGCCCTTAAATCAGCGCTCGCATCTCGAAGTTCAACGGGAATACTTTCGAACAAATATCCATTCTCAATTGTTTCTGAGAATACGCCAGCGACACCAATCGTATTGGATAGGAGATCGAAATGACTTTGCGAAATTGCTTTGTTTGAAGTTGTTATCAAGATGAATAAAACGAAATACGCAATATATAAATAACCGAATTGATTACCATAGGATCGATACCATTGTTTGCTTTTGATCCAAAACTCCTGAACCAAGGCCCCAGTCTCCGAAGCCCAGAAATTTTCGAGCCAAGAATTTGAAGAACTTCGAGATAGTGGAAAATCATAGGGCGTCCGCTTGATTCGCTCAGAGGATACCTTTTGGGGTGAGGTTGGGGCAGATACTGATTTTCTCAGTGAGGCAGCTTTGTTGGCTGTATGGGCCTTTGCGGAGAAGGCTTTACGGGACGAGGATTCAAGAAAATCGCGATCGAGGCCAGATGCTGATTCTTGAGCTGTCATGCTGAATGATTTGCTTGGCAAGTGAAGAGTTTGCTCAAATGTCTACAGATTCCTGAGATGTTATGCTTCTTTGTGGGTATGTCGCTTGATCGGGAAATTTGGCAAGCTTTAGTGACGTGGAAGTGATTTATGATGCTAGATCAATTGGCGTAATTTGATTGATATTGCTCAGACCATTCGAGAGCTGGAGCATTTTAAATTTTAAATTTTCAAGTAGGTAGGAGGTATTTTACTTGATATAAGTGCATCGAGGTTGAGAATGCGCTAAGCAAGTAGGTTAGAATAAAGGGAACGACAAGGGCAAAACAAAGAATTTCACTCTGTGTTCTGCTTCCAGATTACACTTTCAAGGTCTTGCTTTTAAAGAATTTCAAGTGCGAAGAACAAAGGAAACATTGTCAGATAGGTAACCTGACTGGAATGGGATCATCAATAGATCGTGTGAGCTGCATTGATGAAGTGACGTACTGGCTAGTCTTAACTCAATCGGTGGTGTAGAGGGGTATCAAAATTTGAAAAGGACAACGAACGGGCCATGAGATGAATATGTAGCTCGCATGTCGAATGTAGGTAGGTACCTTAACTCGTGAAATTTCTAAATATCTCCGTTTGATTTGGGAATTGAACTTGGTCAAGATTGAGTTTAGGTATCAAAAAAAGATCACATCTCAAACTCAGTACCTCTAAGTGGCTTGAAACAATTTTCAATTTTCCAACACAAATTTTGACACTCGAATGCTCAACGTTTCATTTTGTACGCCTTATTTCCATTCATCGTGATAGGGAAGGAATATATCAAAGATCTAATGCTCAGACATTCGATCGATACCACTCAGCATCAAAGGCTAGGATTTCTACTTAGAACCAAATGAATGATATTCCCAGACTATTTGGTGTAGTATGAGCAGGATTTCGCGGTCATTTATAAATATTGCGCTGTTTTGGTCCACAAAAGCGCTCAGCTTAAGCGGTTTCCTTATCATGGCAGATAGAACTTATTTATACCCATAAAGAAAATGAAATATACTTATCTTCTTCAACAACTGTGTTAAATCGGTCGTTTTAGAACAGAGTCAACGTGAATGTGAAAATTAAAACAATTTTGCTAATCGCTCACGATAGCCAAGGCGACTGAGTCGCTCGCTGTAAACTAAGTATATATACGCCAGAATAATCCACCTTGATTAAACAGCCATCCAAACCGTTCCAGATGATCTATGGTATCGTGAAAGTCAAGAAATGCATTTACCTGAACTGACAACCACCGGAGAGTGCTCATCTCCAGTTCCCCCTCCCCGACAAAATAACTAAAAGCCTGGTGGAATATCCTCCATATCCGTCTCATCTCCATCTTCTTCGGCTTTTTCATCCTCTTTCTCACTATAATTTTCGCCATTCTCATCATGAACATCGTGTTCTCCAGGTTCAGTTGGCGACGTAAAATTTGAAGTATAAACTGGCTTTAAGACAAAATCAAGACCACTTATAACTCGCTTGAACCTCTTTTTGCTATTCTGCTTGGGATCTCCATCCTCAATCTGTTGGTCGCCAACTGATGGAGTGACTTGGTTGCCATTTTTATCAAACAGATATGACGGGACTGTTAGAGATTCGGGTCCTTGGAGGCCATCTAGTGGAAAATTATTAGAATTGACGTTCATAATCTTATACGAATTCCGAAATAGTCACTGTGTGTTGCATTAAAACCACGAAATGCATCTTACCTAATGAATTCATGGGCCCATCGCCCATGTGCCAAGCATAGCGGATTATGTGCCTTTTCTCAACATGCCTTTTCCACTTATCTTCGTCTTCGAACTCTCGTGGTTTCCTTGTTGCTAATTCTGATGCCAAAGGATGTCCACTTTCAGTATGTTTTGTAGCAGCGTTGCAACCTTTCCATAGGCATCGAAACTTGTCGTTCTCCCTCTTACCATGAACTTTAAAGAGGTGCGTTCTCAACGTAGCCAAGTTGTGTAATTTAGCAGGACACTTATCCCACTCACAGTCATAAACAAGGAAGTTTGGATTCGGGGATTCAAGATCTACTTCAGGGGAAGGTTGCTTTGGTGGACGGCCTCGTTTCTTTGGTGGATTGTCATCTGATTGGAGATTTTGGCTTTTAAGGGATTTGAGCTTTTGATCTTTTGCCGTGAATGAGCCTGAGTCATTACTGCCAATTATTGCCGTGCGATCTTTAGGTGGTCTGCCTCGTCTTTTTGGTATTGTCGACTTTTGAGATTTCTGATTTGAAGGGTCGGAAAGACTCTTTGGTGGACGTCCCCGCCGAGGTGCGGTTGGGGATCTGATCACCACCTGGGCCAGATTTTCAGCAATAGCGTGTGGAGGTAAGTTTCCTGCTAGCTGTTCAGAATTCGTCCGAGTGGAATGGTCCATATTCGGTGGTCCTGGAGTAAATGGCCGATATTCTGATGGGCTCTGATTTTGAAGATACCCTGAATGTTGTGGCGCAGGGGTTCTGCTATCATTGCCCATGTAATATGGGACTTGAGTTTGATTATAGGGGTAATTTTGAAAATAAGGAGGCGGCGGTGGTAGTTGATTTTGATACGCTTGCACGTGTTGTCGGTTCTGCTCGAATTGCTGCTGCTGCTGGAGATTTCGCTGTTGAGGGTTTTGCACATGCATTTGTGGTTGGGTTTGATGATAATCGCGCTGCCCCGGATCTTCTCCGACCATCCAATATTGATTAGGGGCTCTATTTGAGTAAAAATTATTTGTGGGTAGCATTGTTGTCGATTTCTCAAATATCCTGCTCGCATTTATATAGTGAATGTCGAGTGTTGTTTTGAAGTGTTGCTTGTGCGACCAATGCTTACGTAACCACGTAACCACCTAAAGGAATGACGGACAAAGTGAGTTATTGTTAAAAGGACACAACTATCTTGTCCTAGACACTGGCAAGCTCAAAGTTTTGGACCGTTTTTTCTGCTGCTATGGCAGAGAATTAATTTTCTCTTCCTTGATTGGGTTTTGTTGCCATAGAGTTCTCTTTCTCTGATCCCCTGACGCTTCTAGTTTAGAAAGAGCAATCAAGACTCAAAGCTGCAAACCCAGATATTCCAGATATTGCTCACATAGAGCTGATATTTGAAAGCCGCGGTGTTCCTTTTGTTAGTACGATATGCAAATTTCTCATTGGTGTGTGAGAATACACGCATGGTTTTAGAGCTCTTGTATTTGGCAGTGGGGATTTGAAGAGGAATTGTGAAATGCACATTAATCAAACATTCTTTGAATCTAGTATTCGAAGATATAAAGTATTCACAGATACACACCAATAGTTGCCTACGCAGTAGCTGATTACTGTCATTATTCTATCACAAAATCTAGCTAAAAGAACTGAAGTTTCCAGCATGACCCTTGAATTTGAAGGTGAGTACCACCTGAAGCAGATGATGTTCCGGCTTGCGACGGCCCTCTACTTGTCAATATTGATGGAGTGTACGCTGATCTGGACTGACATCTTAAAAGTGTCAGGATCCTCATCATTGTTAGCAACTTCTGATACAATCTCAACAACCTTAACCTTCTTGGCTCTGCTGGCTCTGCTAGCTGTGGGCTTTGCTACCTTTCTAGGAGCCATTCAAATGTTACTTCTGGACAAGTCTTTGATGAATAGAGACTAAAAGCCGTTAGTATAAGCTCATTGTTTGATTTAGTCGGATAGTCTTGACCAAACTTACATGTAGTGGAGTATTCCGACGAACGCAAGCCAGTTTAGCGAGATCAATTGCCATCAACATCGATATGCTTTACCATAATAAACAAGTCTTATCAAAATCTGAACTTATGTACCATATATATCACAAGCTGAGCATGCTCTTCTTGGCTTTACTATCCTGGCAGGAGTCTTCGCCGAGTTGAGCGGATCTGTCGACAGAAGCTTTCCCTCGAAGACCCTCTTGTATATATTGGTGATTCGGGCATACTTTACTTATCAGTTAGTTTTGATACCTATGTTTGATCAGAGGACTCACTCTTGGGTTTGCTACCTTGACAAGAACCTCAACTGGTCCCCCTAGCAGGATCCGTAAACAAATTAACCGCAAGAATTGATTTGATCTCAACCATACGAAAAAGAAGAGAAAGTCGAGAAGAAAAGCTCTGCCAAGAATTGAAGATATACTATCGGATATCGCATGTGAACAGATGACCAACTGGATATCCTCATTCTTTTCGATATCCGACAGAAATTCTTCAACTCTTGGCAAAGCATTTCTCCTCAGCTTTCTCTTCTTCTTAGTATGGTTTAGATCAAGGCAGGTTGCCGAGTTAGGGTGTCAACAACCGACAGCGGCGGATCTTGGTTGAGATCAAGACATTTCTGCATTGTTCCGTGTTAATGACCAATATTCTCGGAAAATGCACGGCGCTTCAGAGTATTGCCCATACCTCAGAGCCAGCTGTTACAAAGGTACCATGTTGGTAGGTAGATTGAGTAATGGAAAGATAAGCCGACATATAGTTTCATGGTTTCTCGCACGCTTGCTGTGGCTTATACTTCGCCACAGGGCTTGTTGATTCAAACACCGCGCGGGCCCAGAAATTGATGGTTGGGACTTGGTCCAGCGAGCTCTAATCAATAGATAGGCCAAGTTGTCGGCCCTTGGGCTGGTCACTGTTCCCGTAGACCATTTCAGCTACCACGAACAATCAGTACGAGAGAAGCAATGCATACCTCAGAAAAGCTTGTTGATGGTGCTGATGCACGATACTCGACGGCCGCAGCTCTTGTTGAACGTGGTGCGAAGGTGAGCGGGCGACACCCCTACAGCCTTCAGCAACGCACCTGGGACAACTATGTTATCCTTTTGACTCGCTCGGCACCTCACGAGAAACCAAAGTCCTCTTGTAATCGAAGAAGGCTTGGACTTTTGTCTATGTTCATATAGTTGTTCTGCCTTGCGACACGTTAGCATCATTGTACCCTTAAATGTCTGTTGCATAAGGATTCGGTCTTTGATCATAAGTCTTCATGAAAGGAATTGTCCCAGATCAATATGGGAAATCAAACAATCATCACTGCTCAGGTTCGTTATATCTGCAATCTCGGTGAAAATCGATGGATCAAAGAGAAGAAAACAACAATGATCAAGAATGTAGACATTTAGACAGGTAAGTTATTCATAGAATAGTTCTCTTTGATCCATACCATCGTGTGCCACTGTCGATGATTGCTTTTTGGTATGCAACTTATAAGACTTTCAATCTATAGAAGTCGATGAGACATTCCTAGAGACCTTTGAAGAGATAGTAAGAAATTTTAAACTTACCAGAACAAAATCAACACCTTGTAGAATAAACGAGAGTTGGTAGTATGCAACCAAAAAAGTTGGAGTTGAAGGAATAGAATTGTGGTAGTAAGAAGCAACTGGAAGTATCAAGAAGTTATCTTCGAAGAAAATATTAAGATTTGTGTGTTAAAAATTCAAGAGGGCAGACAGAGACTCGGCTATTCTGCCCAAGGAAACTTTTTGTAACTGTTTATGGCCAATGACAGTCGGCCGAACTGGTCCGGCTTTGTGCAATATTGTTATTAAGTGAAGCTTCAAGTTTGCTAGACCTCTTGTCTTCACTTCATCAAACAGTGATCCTTTATTAAACCGTGGATCAAACGAATCTGGAATATATTACACTATTTTTGGCACCCAATCCTGTGAGCCATATGTGTATGTGTTTATGTCCTTTTATAAATCATACTGAGTTACTGAGTTGTCTGTATTATACATCCAAAGCCTCTCAAGCTTCGAATGTGGTGATTTTCATATCGTCTTAAGCGTTTTAACCAGATAAATGAGGAGCCCAAATGCTTCGCTTTTCCAAGAGGCCCTGAAAGAATCCATTAAGACCACAATGCTACTCAAAACCATGGGCGATAGGGCTGGCTATTCATGAAACATCAAGAGGTATAGTTCCTTTCGCTTCAAGAAGTATAATTCTAAACTTACCACTGGCAATTGGAAGACGAAGCACCCACTTTTGCTTTTTATCTCCCACATCTGTGCTTTCAATACGCTTATAAATAATCGCCTTGTCAACAAAATAATGTCCCAAATTGGCCCCAGATACTCGTTGGAGCATTGACTCCTCACTTGGAGAAAAGAGCCGCTATGAGTCGGTTGCGAAGTCTCTCGTTTTGTCCTGCAAGAGACATACAAAAAGCTTCAAATACCAGGCTCGTGCTGTTCGCGAGGCCGATCCTACAAAAAAAATACTACGGCACTCGTATATCGATTGTCTTTCCCGAAAAACGCCCATCTTTTGAGTGATCATCCTGGGAGAAATTGACAGCTATCAGTCTTGATTGATTAATTGTGCATTCGGAGGAATTCTTCAGAACTATTCGAGCTCATGGGAAAACGCTTAAGTTCGTTAAACTGCTGCGTCCAGTCCTATACGGACGGTTGTGGTTTTGAGATTTGGCCAGAATACTTTCGTAACATGCGAAGCTTCGGTAAACCTGGAGTTATGAATCTGGAAAAGTTGAAATTTGGAATATCTCTGCGGCAGTGGATCCCTAAGGGATATGCGGAAGTTTGGGTTGAAACTGGAATCGCTGAACAAGGCTTGCCGGCTTATCCTTCCAAGAACTTCTCAGCCCATCATTCTACTTCATATGTGACATTACAAGCATCCATGGAGAGATATGCTACCAATGGAGGAGAGTCGCATTGGGATGATGATAGACTTATGATTTGAATGTGGTGATTGGGTTATGATGCCACAAAGAATTACATACAGCCAGTCTGCTCTTAGCATCATGACGTTGGAGAGTTTAAAAGCTCTTTTGTCCGACTATGTTTTTCCCTTGGTACAAAGAGTCCTCAGTCTCCTTTCCTCGGTTCTCATCAAGTGTGATATTCGATGCAATCCACCGATTAGCATAACCAGTAGTTCTCAAACTTAGTCTTGGTCTATTGTACTTACAAATTTTTCGTACACTGCTATTGATGATGCCTTGCGAGGATCGTGGTAGTAATCAAATCTCGTCATATCACACTCGTTCTAGGGTATGATTACGTTTGATCAAACGTAACGAACGAAATCTGTGAGACGAACAGGGAAAGATCGAAGTAAATTAATTACTATCACATAGAACTAACTACCAGGCTGGGCTCCATGTGATTAGAAATGAATGAAATGAATGTGTTGCTAAGTTCTAAAGGAAGCTCATGGAATCTCCATCACCGCATCGTACACCGAATTTTGCATCCCTGAGAGTAGGAGACACCGGAAACACTTATTTGACAGTTTGGGGTACTAAATATACCCTTAGCTCTTGAGCTGTCAATGGGGTACATCTCCAAGTGCTCTTTGATAGGGAAACCATTGCGGCGTCACAAAGAAGTACACCAAACTATCATTGCAAGGACATCCACTTGAGGTTGATGAAACTTTTCGAAAATGTAGCCACTCATTAGTGTTGTTTGCTACAAGAAACCATTGTGTTTTCCTATACGCAGATCCCATATAAGTTATTGCTATTTCTGGGTGGCTCTTTCGTTTTTGAATAGTTACTGTGTATGAGACTGCTCCCGTGGGAGTACATCTGCAGTTTAATCAAATTTTTTCTCCGAGTGGCATCTATATCTCGAAAACAACAGATTGAGGGTTTGTTTCCAAGGGGGAAAGCATCCGATCGGATTTGTTTTCCCATTGGGTCATGTTCCAAATTCGAAAAGTCGTCGCTGTGGATAAATTGCAACGAGATCTTACACTGGTCCTACAAGCAGGTAGTGAGTACATCTCACTCTGGCCCCTTGACCACATTGTGTTTCGCGAGCTTTTAGCATTTAACATTACTGTATCGTCTCGTCAATCATCTGTATGCAATCAGTATTCTACAATTCATGTAATAAAACCACACGAATAGTTGATTATTTCAATCAAATTGTTTGTACATGATGATGTACAATTCTCGTTATCACGAAAGATGGGAAACCCCCCAAACCCCCACTTCTAAGCTAGTCCAACAGCGTCCTAGACACAAATCGTGCATTCCTTCGCCCAACCACCAAGCATGGATTGGGCCGTCTTTCAACCGTCTCAGCCCCTAAAATAAACCCGAGAAATCAGACCACCTTCAAACAGCTCACTTAGAAAACGTCGTAACACATCAAATAGCCACCCCCATACTCAGTAGATGAAATGGGAGACTCTCCGGAGGAAGAACATAACAGGATGATTGTGGCGTTACAATATCTATCGCGACCGGCCTAATCACAGATATTCATTCCAAGGCAAAAAACCCTATTAGACGATGGCATGGAATCATCAGAAATCTTACTTTCGAAATCCTGTTCCCGAAGACCGTAGGTACCGTGTAGCTCTCGGATCAAAGGTAAAGTTTACTAGGTAATTAGGTTCGTAGGGCGAGAGACATTCATTTACTCGTAACCAAATCAAAACCTAGGTAGCTTTGTAACCCCGCATCCTGATTGATGTGACACACGTAGCTGGAAGCTAGAGAATACGTGGTAGATTGTCAAAACACCTTTCCCCGCATTCATGCGGAGACGACCTCAAACCTTGTTCTGACCGAGAACGGAAAGCTTCCATAGCATATTCCAAAATCATGGTATTGGTAGCTCCCATACGACACGTTTGGCAGGGATTTCTATGATAGATGACATAGTGGCTCATCCACAAAATGAATTGAGTAGCAAAACCACGCCATTTCTGAACCTCCCGAGCAAATTCTTGTATGTTTCCCCTCTCTGGCCGGAGGAGGGGCAATGCACAATGCGTCTATTCTGTGGATAACGATAGTCCTTAGCCCCTCGCCGGTGTTTTTCCACACGTCCGCCGCCGTGAATCCCGGCCTCTAGGGTATCGGCGTATCCAACAAGAACAGGCACCTCAATGATTTGCCCAATTAGCAGATGAATTACACCTAGGTATGCTGATTAGTTCCTTCCATGAATCCAAGCTGTAAACTCAATTTTAGAATGATCCAATAGCATGAAGTGAACGAACAAAGAAACGCAAGCTTCTAAATGCGCGACTGTAGATCAGGACTAGATATCCGAGACATTACACCTTCGTAGGAGTGGGGTTATCTTTGTTGGAGGGGCTAGAGCTTGGATAACTACCATCGTATGATTGTTCGGATTACTATATATTCAATGATTCCCAAGCGTCTAAGAAGTATTCTCTATCTAGTATTCAATTATTGTCATACCATCAATATATCATTCAACAATTACACCTACATATCTTATCTAGACCAATCTCAACAAACTCTCAGTAAAAACATCTACATCATCCCAAATATCAAAAATGGAGAATCTTCCCAAGGAACAATGGGCGCAAGTAGTTGAAGCAACTGGCAAACGTATGTTTATTCTTTCCTTCTTCATCACTGTCACATCCCCTTTCTCCGCATTCCTCGTTCCAGACCTCAAAACTAACCTACAACTCTAGCCGTCGTCTACAAAAGAATCCCTGTCCAAAAGCCCGGTCCTGACGAAGTCCTCGTAAACATAAAATTTTCCGGTGTATGTCACACTGATTTACACGCCGTAAATGGCGACTGGCCATTAGACACAAAGCTTCCACTTGTGGGAGGACATGAGGGAGCTGGCATCGTCGTTGCCGTTGGTAGTCTTGTTGAGGATGTGAAGGTTGGTGATCATGCTGGTGTTAAGGTAAGTTACCTCTATCCTTCTGTTTCCATGAAGCATTTGGGAAATTGGAAGTCAAGTACTGACTGAAGTACAGTGGTTAAATGGAAGTTGCCTCGCCTGTGATTTCTGTCAACAATCCGACGAACCACTCTGCGCCAAAGCCCTCCTCTCAGGATACACAGTCGATGGAACATTTCAAGAATACTGCATCGCAAAGGCCGCACATGTTGCGCGTATTCCAAAGGAATGCGATCTCGAAGCCATTGCTCCCGTTCTTTGCGCTGGTATAACCGTCTACAAAGGCCTTAAAGAATCCGGAGTTCGCCCAGGTCAAACTGTAGCAATTGTTGGTGCTGGAGGCGGCTTAGGCTCACTTGCTTGTCAGTATGCTAAAGCTATGGATTGGATATTATCGCAATTGACGGAGGTGCTGAGAAGAAGAAAATGACACAAGAGTTGGGAGCGCAACATTATGTTGACTTCATGTCAAGCAGCAATCTGGTCAACGATGTCAAGGCTTGCACACGCGATGGACTGGGACCTCATGCTGTGATTTTGGTTGCGGTCAATGAGAAGCCATTCCAGCAAGCTGCGGAGTATGTTCGACCTCGTGGTACTGTCGTTGCTATCGGTCTCCCAGCCGGTGCTTATCTTCGTGCGCCTGTTTTCGAGTCAGTTGTCAAGATGATTACTATTAAGGGATCGTACGTTGGCAACCGACAAGATTCTGCTGAGGCCATTGAGTTCTTCAGACGTGGTCTTATTAAGGCTCCATATAAGACATGCGGTTTGAGCGAGTTGCAGAAAGTCTATGACTTGATGCACGAGGGCAAGATTGCTGGAAGATATGTAGTTGATACCAGCAAATGATTGGGTTGATTGTCATGGGAAATGGAACGGAACGGTTAATGGCGTGAAGCTAGGGATCAATAGGCTTTTGTGAGTGGATTCGCAGGATCTTTACTTAAATATTAAACTATCGGTATGGTGTTTGAGCGTGCATTGTAGTCATGAGAACAAAGAAATGAAATTTTAATCTCTATAATGAAAGTGTGTGAGACTGTAGTCCTATGGTGACACATGAGTGTTGTGATAATGAATTATAATTGCTCTGATGATACAAAGATATTGATAATCTGGCCAGCGTGAACCTGAAATTTTAGATAGATCATAACTCAACCTGATTAATAGAAGGATCATTGTTGTCTTTTCACGCCGTCACATGTATCAAAAGTCACCCTTCCCATATCCATGGACCCGGGTAAGTAAATTTTCTCTCTTGTTGCACGTCTTAGTCCTACCCGCACTGGTAGGACTGATGCAGCCACGGAATGAAAAGGTGACTGTCGTCTCTTGTTGCACTTCTCAGTCCACCAGATGTGGCACAGGACAGATCTCTGGAACTAGGATCATCTCAGTGACACTTATACTAATAGCCTAGTGTCTCTTTGCAGCACCAGTGCTAGATACTGGCCGCACACCACGCTATATGCCCTCGAATTGTGTGATGTCTTAGCATATCTTGTTGCACATCTGAGTTCAAGAACCACAGGTAATACAATTTACCTTGTGCTCACCGAATATAACTAGCACTGGCTGGAGAAACAATTGAGGTATGCACCCCTTAGCGCCTCTTCGGCCTGATGGACAAATCATCATCTTCTGTTGCAAATTCAAAAGAAAGAACTAGGAACTAGGAGCAACACGGCTATTCCGAACATAGCAGGTGGTACTGGCATCCACTTATGCTATTCTGGAAGTATGCATGCGTCTCACTGCATGCCCCCATTACTAGCCCTTGGCCAGTCAGGAGGATATCATCGTTTGCTGCATGTTTTGTTGCACATCTCAGTCAAAACAACACATGTAACACAAGTCTCTTGAGCATAAGGTTCATGAATACACATCCAGGATTGGTACAGATAAGAGTGTCATGCCGCACCAATCGAGATGAGAGCGATGACGTGCAGATTCCTAAGGAAGATTTGCGTTTTGTTGCATATCTCAGTCGAACCAACACAGGTAACACAAACGCCGGCACCTACTGCTCATATAACCTTTGTTCGAATGATACAGTCCTGTATATTAGCTCGTGGAACGTCAGGATAGGTGTATTGGGAAAGCACATTGCATTTCCTGCTCAAATCAACATACAGAAGAAATGTAGAGCCGACGATTCATCTGTAGCTCATTCGTAGATGAGTCATATATCTCGGCTACTGAGGGGACAAGAATATACGTACTGCTAGAGGAGGAAGTGTTACGATTATCGCATATCTCATCTAGATTGAAATGTCAGTGACGCAGATGCTTAGACCCAGTGCACCCTCCTATTATCTAGCATTGATTTAGGAGAGCAGGTCATGCGTGCCAAATTGTGACAAAGATGGTCATTTATGCGTATATGCATATCGTGAAAGAATGCACAAGGTGATAGATTGAAAAATATAGAGTAGTCTTGGGGGTTGTGATCAAAGCGGGGTGAATGATGAGGCAATGATATATCATATCAAGGGTTCGTGAGATCGTGAATTCCAGTACCACACGGGCGAGAATCGGAAGAACTAATTGGTATGATACTTCTTCCTCAAGACAGCAAAAGCCTCTTGGATGATGTGATACTTGCAGAAAAGAAAGAAGGAAGCGGACATTCCGCACTTGAGAAAGGTAATTCGACAAATGTTGTGGCCAAAAATATCAAAACGCATTTCAATCTGCGGAAGAAAAAGAAAGAATATCTAGAACTACTACTTCCTTGCTCTGATAAATTCTGATGATCGCTACGGCGAAGCGACATCGATAGCAATGGGTTTCGATCGGTGATACGTTGTGCTCAAGGAGACGTCTCCGCTACGCTATGGGAAAGACCAATGTCCGCGACCACTTCTGCATACCATGTCGCTGCGAATGTAACCTTATATGCGCTGGCAGCTGCATCACATGAAAGCCACCATAATCTCTGGATGTCACTGGATGTCACTGTTGACGATTACCCGGACAGATTGGTATTGGATGAGTCCTAGTCAACGTATGAGAATGTCACCGTAGCACAACGTTTCTCAAGCTCGCGATTAATAGGTTTACCTGACAAATGTCCGACATGTCACGGGTATGAGGATCTTTGGATCAATCTTGTCTCCATCTTGTCAATATGATATCGCAACAAGGACGATGAGGCTCAATGACTAATGATCTCGACGTGGAGGAACCGTCTGGAGAGTTCCTATGTACAATGAATGTTCGTGAGGGTGTGCTTAATCAGCGAATTTTTCAATTGCTCATAGATCACGTGTAAAATATCGCGTCCGATAACAGATAACAGATAAGGAACGCGAGCGCGAATTGTCGCGTTGAGGCAACCATGGCTGCCTACCTATGCAATACAACAAAATACATTACAATTCAGACAACGACGATACAAGCTTCAAGAAAGATGCCTCCAAAGCAGAAGTCTAGACCAAAAGGCAGTGCGCCTACAAATCGAACATACAAAGCAGTCGAGCCATTATATCAAACTACATTTCCAGAAACGAAAAAGCGTGTAACTAGGAACTATGGCAAGAAATCTAAGCTGAAGCTCGAGGATCAGGACACACTTACGCAGATGGATTGGGTAAAAGTGCATGAAAGAGAAGAGCTGGAAAAACAGATGGAGGATGATATTGAGGATAGTGAAGGAGATTATGTGGAAGAAGAATCGAAACGAAGAACGAAACGACGGAGGACTATGGGCGATGAACCGGAGGCAAAGAAGAAAAAAGAATCAAATAACAGACGGAAGACTCTAGGAGAGGAAGGAAGGACACCAAGTTTCTCGACGCAGACGATTACCCAACTTGATTATTGGCCACTTTCCGGAGCACGAGAACCAGAAGAACCAGAAGACGATCCATCAATCTATGATGTCCCAGTATCCAGCTCTCCAGCAATCCAACCGCTTCGACGAAGTCCGCGAAAGTTTTCCAAATCTGCTATCTCTGACCCAGCTCAGTTAATGCCTCCACCACAAACACCAAGACATAGGAAGATTCTTGAGATTCCATCATCACAATCACCGGCTACACCAACATCAAGTCAATTTGGAGGTTCCGCACGGAAGCGGTCGCCACTCAAGGAGCAATCTACAAATTTCATAGTCCCCTTCTCCCTACGATCAAACACAAACACAAGTGTCGAAACGATACCAAGATTGAAGGTTGAAGATACTTATGAGACCGGGACAGATGAAAGTCAAGTTCTTCGAACCCCATCAAAGCATTCGAGTCCGGCCAAAACAGTACGCTTTGCTATACCAGATCCTAGTCAGGAATATTTTGCGGAGGAGACTCCCATAAAGGAAGAGCATGCCACTCAGCGTGACTTCTCTCCATCGCCTACCCGCCGGTTGGGGACCCCAGCCCCCAAGAATATGAAATTTGAAATTCTGGATTCGGATGCGGAGGACGAAGAAGATGAGAAATCTCAAGCTGTGGCGGATACCCCGCCAGAAACAATCCCTGGCTATGAAGGTTTCACGAATGCAGGAGACACTGTTGAGAACACAGCTAGGACGCCAGAGCAGAACGATGATCGCTCAGCGGATGATACTATTAGACAAACAGAATGGGACGTTGAGCAGGAGTCCGAACTTCCAGAAACATTTTATGGGGATATAGGAGCGGAGACAGAATTTCACACTGAGCGGATCATGTCTTCGTCGAGTTTAAGTGATGTTCAAGAAAATACTCCATTAAGTGACGACGCGGCCGGAACTGTATCTTATGGTAGTAGCCAGTTACCACAAACCCAATATGCCGCTACTCAGCATACCCAGCATACACAAACTCAAAGTTCTCAAACTCACCGCACTGGAACCCAATATACCCAAAAGCAGACCCACTTTGGTAAAAGTCAATATCCTGAGAGCCAACGCCTCTCCACACAACACCTGGATGCTATGGCACCGCGATCGGATTCTTCTGATGTATTCGTCTCTATATATCCTACCCACGTGGAAAACATAATTTCCCGTGAGAAGAACCACGAGTTTCGATCTTATAATTTTCCAGCTACTGTATCCCGTATTTGGATTTACCAAATCAGACCCCTATCGACTCTCACTCATATGGCCGTCATTGGCCCGCCCAAAGCACCTGGAGAGATAACGAATCTTGATGGGCTTGGTAACAGTGAGTTCAATAAGGGTGAAAAACGTTCCAAGTTTGCGTATGAAATCCTAGAACTATATGCACTCGCAAATCCAATGACCCTGGAACAACTGAAGAGTCGACAATGGTTCAAAGCTGCTCCACAGAAATATAATAAGGTACCACCCGCGGTCTTAGGGGAATTGATTGCGAATTTATTACCACCTCTATTCACACAATCTTCTTCGGCTGTCGAGAATATACATACCGCATCCATACTGCACAGGAAATCAAGCACGAGCACCGAATCTCAGGAGGTACAAGATCAGATCACGAATAACATTCAACAATTCTCACACACGCAAGCACCCTCTTCCTCACCCCCTTCGTCGCCACCTTCTTCGCCCCCAATCGCAACGCAAACTCCTGTGATTCATGTACCATCTTCACAACGTCAGTCTGTGAGGCTATCGCAAGCTTCGACGGTTGATTATACACAAACTCAAACACCTGCTACTCCACGTCGTCTACGAAATGAACGAAAGGAAACTCCTATTCCAGAGGTAATTCCGGAGTCACCGGCAAAATCTATTCCTTCTTCCTCGCGTGGCAGTAGTCCGGCGCAGATGTTGACACCTATTGTGCGGAGAAGAGAGGAGAGAAGGGTTATTGAGATTGAAAGTCAAAGTGATGATGAGGATGACTTGGACGAGGATAGTTTGCCTGTTGTAGCGAGAAGGGAGAGTGTGGTTATCGAGGTTGAGAATGAAGATGAACGTGATGAAAGTAATGAAAAAGAAGACGGCCACGATACAGAAGATGAAGAGAACGAAGACAAACACATTCCAGATAACGACTCAATAGAAGAAGAGGGTGAACAAGAATCACACCACCCTCTTCAACACCCGCCCCTTACTCTCTAATTCGTTCATCACAACTCATGTCCCGCAGCCAAATGATGCGCGAACAAGATAGTTTAATAGATCGGGAGATTGTGGGACCGCCACCGCCACCAACAGATACTGTTCCGAAAAATGTTGTGCGATGGGTGGAAATGGAGTCAACTTGTAAAGGATATTTCCCGGGGAAGGATGATGATGATGAATTTTGAGTCAAGAAGATTGCACACGGCCTGGGATGAGACGGAGAGCTGAACAAGGAGTTTATTTCGGCGGATTATTAATATCAAAAGGGTGTTTATCATGAGAGCATGGAAATTGCTGGTGGAGCGAGAGTGATCCATGTTAGTTAGAGTTGTACTTATTGCCCACTATGCAATGTCTCCTAAACGCTTTGTATGACAAAGTGCAAGTGAACTCGAGCGATTTCATTGAGAGGAACAATTGAATTGCATTATGATATAAACAAGCTGAAACGTAAGAGATATCATAACTGTGTTTTCTACGTAGAGTCAGTGATGGTCACCTTCTACAATTGCTGATCAAAAATTATCAATGTGATGATTGTGACACGTCCAGTGAGGACGGAATGAGCAAGGTTTTCGGACGAAAGATTGCATAATAAGGATCAAATACAATAAATAGGTGTACGAATTTACTCGTCTATCATACGTTTCGAATTGCGGAGTATTTATGTATTGCTTAGGCAAGAAGCTTCACATGGGCCAAAATATAAAAGTGGACCGATCTCGCGATAGCTTCAAATATTACAAAATGACATAAGATCAATCAATCCATTTTGAATTCCTATACATTACCACTCCAGAAAAATCCTCAAAACCCCAAAAGAACAATTAAAAAGGCAAAAGTTGAGACCCAAATCTCTTCCACCCTCCAAACCGCACAACGAATGTAATCCTGCACCGCCACCCCACGGTGAAGAGCTCTCTGCAGAGTGAAACCTCCCTCAAGAAATCATCTTCATTGCTTAGGACAACCGCAGCATCGTGAGTTTCCTACACGAGTGGATTGTCACCGTGGTGTTCGGACTGGGCACTGTTGGTGGCCTCCAATCGTTAGATTGAAGAACTTGGAGAGAAGAAAGAGGGAACGTGAGCTCGCCTTAACCTTATGACCGTTACAGTCAAGGATTAAAGGTGGTTTTTATTTATATATAGGGTACGCAAATTATCCGCAACGTGATTGGTAGTTGGTGTGGGGCGAATTCGGGATATACTCGGGGTATACATTAGATAAGACAAGGTATGATAGTATGATTTCGTGATTGGGAATCGCGTTTTGGAAGGGGAATAATCATATCGGCTCGTTGATATATTATGGTATTATGCAGATCTAGTGTTTTGGGACAGTGTTTTCTTGCGTGGTATATGAATTGAGATTGAGATCGAGTTCAGCATACAACTTCTCCTTGTGCGATGAAAATTGGGAAGTTTACGAACGGAATGAAATCTTAGAGACGATTAAGAGACCTAGGCATTTATGTTCTGATCAAATGTGTAATTTTGTAAGTATTTACGTTGTAGAAAATCTTCAGGGCTTTCACAGATAACCAGTTATGAATGCAATCTATTCCAGGTATGTGGATATTGAGAGTCTGTTTGATATCTGCTATCGTGTAGTACTACCCGCAAAATACCTACGTACTCAACCCTCCAACAGCTTCGCCTCTTCCCCATCACCTATGAGTTTCTTCAACGCCTCCACGGTTATTTCTAGAACCTGCTGACTCCTCGACTTCTTCAAACATTCTTTCAGACATTCCAATCCCGCATTCTCCTTCACCATTTCCCTTCCCTTTTCCCCAGCTTTATTCGGTGCCGTCAGTATATTAAGAATGCAAACTGCACCTCTATGTCTAATTTCCTCTTCTTCTTCTGTGCACAGAGCTAATAGAAGATTGACTCCTCTTTCTCTGTCGAGGATAGCTGTTACGGCAGTATCCCATTCCGTGAGACTTGCTAATGCTCCACCTGCTGCTCTTCTGGTAGCGAAATCATCGGCATCCGTTAAGGCCAAGAGGATATGTGTACGCTGTGAAGCTTGCTTACTGCCGTCTGCGAATTTCGCAACGCCTTCTGGTGATTGCATGAGGTTACAGATAAGCTCTACTGTTGCACGAGTTACCATAGTATTATTGGAAAGAAGCAATTCTTCAATTTGAGACCAAGCCAGTCGAATGATAGGGTTACGAGCTGAATCATCTGTAGAAGCGAGATTTGTTAAGGCCAGGAGAGCTTCGAAGACAGGTAGGAGATCGCGGTGTTCAACTGTTGGGTCATCCTCCAGAAGAAGAAGAAGAGGTTTAATAGCTGAGACAAGTGATAAAGGATTGGTGCCGCCAAATACATGTTGTGGATTGGTGGATATCAGGATACGGGCAAGAGCATGAGCTGTGGTTCTTCGAGCTGGGATATTATCCGAGGGAAAGACAGAATCCGCGTGTAATAAGAGCTTGATTGCACCCTGTTGCGCCATTTGTCCTCGAATCTTGGTTATCTTGGAAAGTGAGAAAATGATGGATGTGACAAGTGTGAGAGATGCTATTGATCCATGTTGACTATGGGTGACAAGAACGGGTATAACACCAGCGTCGAATACATTTTGACATCTTTTATTAACATGATCATCGTCGTTGAGAGGATCAGGTTTGAGGGAGGATTTTGATGCATTAGCATAAGCCTTCAACTGGCCTAGCTTTTTTTGTTCTTCTGTCAAGGGGGTTGATATGTTGTAAGATTAGCCAGAATAGAGAGAGCTCCATAAGTTGCCGGTGATTTGGGCGGAGCATCCTTCATAGTTTTGACAAGATCGGCCAAAAACTTTTTATCTGAAGCCAACTTCTCTTTAACTTTTGATTGCAGCGAAGCATAAGCGAGACCTTCAATAGAACTTTGCTGAGATGTATCTGTAGAAAGCATGTTTTTGAACATGTCTGAAAGGTCTTCAATAGTTGTACTTCCAGGGATATCTCCTTTCCCGGATTCAGCAGTCGAAGCTGAAGGGATAGCCTTCACTTCTGCGGTCAGTCAGAACAATTGATTGAAGAGAGGTCTGTAAAACATGAAAGTGTATAGATAGGTAATGGAGGTAAAATCATGAAAAGCATACCTGAATCTTGGCTAAGACAACAGCTGCTAGATTCCTAACTTGCTCAGAATGTATTCGCTGTTGTATAGAGCCATCTTCTGCATTGCTATCGATAGGTGATGTAGAGATCTCAGAAATTTTGGGTGGAGTATTATTGACGATCTCTTCGAGCCATTTTGTACAATGCTTCTGGATGGCTTCTCGGCAAGGGGTGTTCATACAAGCAGCACTAAGCAACTCTAAGGCAGCTTGTTCAACCTTTCGACTCTTCCATTTCCTCTTCATCAAGGTACCGAGGCTAGGAATGAACCCTTCACTTAGGAAAAATGAAGAAATAACATCTGGAACCACGGGAAATATCGATGCTGCAACCGAGAAGGCAAGAATCAGATCGTCATATGTGCCTTTGCCAACTCGATCGTAGAAGAAATGAGAAAGATAGTCAACTCCTTGTTGTTCTGAAGCTTTGAGGTATGCAGAAGTGGTCAAAGTCGCGTGACCTCGGACCGAAGGAGACTGTCTCATATCAAGATAACCCAAGATAGTTTCTAGGATATCTTGATCGATCAATTGGAAAAGAGGCTTGTGTGGCTCCTTCGATCTTGTTTCTTCGGTGGAATCATCAGTGAGAATTTTGGTGAGAGTGTTCAATTCCTTGCAAGTATCCTCATCTTCTTGTCCACCTTCTGTCAAACGGGCAAGTAAGAGAAGTGTTTGATCTTCAAGGGAATCATTTGCGGCGGTTGTAGCATGAGGAACACTTGGATCAGTGCCTCTTCTTTCGAAGGATTGATCAAATGAATTTGACATGATGATGAAGTATCAAATGTAATTGAAGTCTGATGGAAACGAAATCATGGATGGGAAGATCAAGATCAAGATGAAGATGAGGGGAAAGCTCCAAATTATACGAAGTACGAGCAAATGCCCCTCCCTTGTGAAACCACAAGCTTAACAGCCCCACATTTATGGGTAAGTACCGAAGATAAACGGTCGCGTCACATGATCAGGCGACAGCAAGGGTGACCGTACCCGCATTCCGCATTGTACCCTGGATGAAGATCATCTAGCCTTGCTCAGAATTCCATCAATTCTCTCAGCCTTTAGGGAAATTGATATCAATCGCAATTGTACGGACTTTTTCAGCAGCAAGGAGAGGGAATCAATCTGTTGGGCTGTAGTAGAACTGCAAGTCATATATAAAGTTGGGAAAACGAATAGATTCTTTGAACTTCGAACCTATCAGGCTGTCATGCCTGCAAGGCTTTCACCATGGATGGTATAGATGGCACAGATCATTTCACAGGAGGCGTCAAAGGTATGGCCAAACAATTATTGCGGCAATTGCATGTCATCTTAATACAGAAACAGGTCCTTCTCCTTCATGCCTCGTCATTATCCTAGATACCAATCCGCACGCGTGGGAAATTCTCTCATCGACACTTCCTCTCTCGAAAGCGATAGCCAATCTCCTCGTTTTCGTAAACGCACATCTCGCTGTCAACAATGCCAATCAAGTAGCCATAATCGCTAGCCATTGTCATCGTGCAGTATGGCTTTACCCAGCGCCGCCTTCTGCGTCCGAAGATACAGAAATGGGAGGCTCTACTCCCCACGGCCCGCCGGATGACGCAAACAAATACAGACAATTCGCACTCATCGAAAATACTCTCCTAAACTCTGTACGAAACTTGATAGATAGTACAACCGAGCAAGAGGTCTCTACCACAACCACCACCCAAATGGCCGGTGCTCTCACCCTCGCCCTCTCATATATAAATAAACAACTATCAGCCTACAGCGATGTCTCAGCTGCTGACTCTAAACCCGCTGCCTCCGATGTCACCCCCTCTGATTCTACCACCGGGTTGCAATCGCGGATTCTCGTTCTCTCAGTGTCCGGCGATCTCGCACATCAATATATCCCGATCATGAACACCACATTCGCTGCACAGCGCATGCGGATTCCGATCGATATATTGAAACTCGCGGGTGACACTGTATTTCTACAACAAGCTAGTGATACTACTAGGGGGATATATATGCATTTGAAAAATCCACAAGGATTATTACAATATCTAATGATGGCGTTCTTGCCCGATCAAACAAGTCGAAAGGATTTAATAGCGCCAACGCAGGAAGTGGTAGATTTCAGAGCTGCGTGCTTTTGTCATAGGAAGGTGGTGGACGTGGGTTTTGTATGCAGTATATGTTTGAGCAGTATATCTCCCCCCCTCCCCTTTTGTCAACGCAACGAATCCGACTAATCTCCCTCTCTTCAATTTAGTATTCTGCTCGCCCCCCGAAGGTGCCATCTGCCTAACTTGTTCCACGCACCTCTCCCTCGGGAATTACGGTGCCAAACCTGCCGTTGTTCCACGCAAAAAGAAGAAGAAGCGCAAGATTAATGGTACGGGTGTGGAAACGGGTAGTGCCAGGGGTACTCCTGCGCCTGGGGAGTAAATATTTGAGCTACCTAGCGGTTTAAGCATCAATCAAATAAATGGACAGATACGTAAACACGACGACCGGGGAGATTCCCTGCCTTGGTGACTCGGTCGAATCTATAGTCGTTGTTCCGGGGAATCTGAGAGGGTAGGGGGTGGAAAATTGCACATACTGGCATGGGGACGGCAAGCCCGGATTTTTCGGGATATCAGCGTAAGGAAGATAAAAGATGATCATCCTAGATTTTTTGCGTCAGCTAGGTGCCCAAGGAATATAACGTGAAGTTTGGTTTGATGGAACAATGGCGTGGGAATACGGTGGTTTGTCCAATAGTTCCCAGAACACTGTTTAGAGTCGGAGTTAGGCGAGGAGGATGAAAAGACTAAGAGAATGAACTGTATTTAGGATTTACAAAATAATAACACATCACATGAGCAATAGCAGGAGCGAGCTCAACTATAAAATTATCAAAATCTATGCATAAATTTCCAAAAAACCAGCTTCACACTTAAATTTTATTGCAGCATATCTAACTCAAAGTCAAGATTAACTTTAGGTTCTATTAGGTTATCAGATATCGCCCTTTAACGGCGTAGCAATAAAGCATAAGCAATACTATCATCTCTATCCATCTTTCCCATCCCCTCCTATCACAACCCATCTGATTTCCAAGCGGAAAGTGTTTTTAGGTTAACGGTGATGTGATGTTTTGTTCGTTTTAGCAATAATTCCTCCCCATTCTATTCATTCGATTCCATTCTTCAACGCTATTTTGTTGGTCATAATCATGAAAATCATAAGGTCCCTTTCTCCGTAAGCAATAATGCATTATCTCCAAAACAACGCGTGTAAAAATGATGAGGGATTGATGAGCCGTGTAACCATACGCATGTACCAAGTTCGACACCTTAGAGTAGAAGGTTGGTGATTCGTACGAGACGTGATGCTGGAAGTCATTCTTTGTCAATCTTAACCTTTCGACCTCCTCTAACAACATTTCCATGGTCTCCAAGACGAGACATAACACACTTAGCATCTTTCTCGTTTGAAGCATAGGATGCCAAGGCAAATGAGTCGGTATTATGAGCGAAATGAAGGAAATATCCATACTGTGTCTTTTTGACCGCCATAACGCCGATTGCGCCTGCTGAATTACTTCCACTGACACCAGGATGACCCATAAAATCTGCTTGAACAAATGACTCCATGGCTTCATCTTCATTAGCTTCCATATCCTGGCCACCACGAGCTCGTCTGGTGTTGTGGTAGAGTCTGTCTGCACATTTTTGCGAAGCCATGGTGGTTGCCATATGCTCTCCTGTACCACTGGTAACTGCGGCAACTGATACTTGATCTTCATCTCTTTCGTCACAAGGAACCACAGCTGTACCAATACCTACGAGAGCCGCAGGTCCAACACGGCCGCGATGTTTCATCCCGATTCCACCAGATGAAGATGCCGCAGCAATACGGCCATACATATCAATGGCGATAGCTCCAACGGTATCAGTAATCAAGTCCACGTCAGCCTTTTTGGGAGTAAGAAGCTCTGCAGTAGACTCATGGGGGCACTCGATTGTTCCTTCTTGGGCTAGATCCAGTGAAGCAGAATGCATTTCAATAACCTTTTCCTGGTCTGTTGGAGAGAGATGACCATCTGTACTAGATGGCCTATCGATTGTGGATGGAGCAGTACTTGGACATATACCTGGCTCGCTGGATACACCACTGGTAGTAACACTTGGAGATAGAAGAGATTGAACACGCCCCGGACTGCCATCACTGAGTGCTGCTAGTCGTGCACGTTTCGCGGGAGTTGTTCCGACTGGAGAGCGAGAAGCTCCACGGCCTGGCGCATTCATTTGAAAATAGCCTCGACTCGGAGGAGTACCAGGACGCGGAGAGTATGGACCACATTCTTGAGGGCATGCTCGACCTGGGGATGTTGTTGAAGGAGAATCAGGTTGCCCTTCATTCCATGTACCAGTCATAAGCGCATTGGTGTGGTCCCGACGCTGTTTTGCTCTTACACGTTCTTCGTATTCCCGAGCGGCAGCCTCGTCATCAGCAGCTTGGCTGCTATTATTACTTGATGGTGTCATACGACCTTGTCCCTCGGCACGACGTAAATCGTCACGCCAACGAATATATCTTTCTCGCGCATTCTTAGAGCACATCATATCATGTGGTACAACTGGTATTCCATGTTCCCATGCGAAATCCGTCGCTCCTTGCCCGACAAGAAGGTTGGGTGGGACTCTTCGTAAAGATAATGGTCTACTTGAAGCTTCTAAAATCAATCTTGCCAAACTGACAGGGTTCTTGATTTCTGGGAGCAAAGTGTCGGTCAGTGGATTGACGTGGGAAAATGACAATTGACTTACGAGCAGTTGCACCACAGGCACCACTTCTACCCAAATGATCTACCACTGTTGCGTCACATTCAACTATACCTTCAATTGATAAATTACTGCCGTATCCGGCGTTGGTAATTTCCTTGTCTTCAAGAACTTTGATCGCCGCTTCGACTGCATCAACGGCTGAACCACCGGCTTTGAGGATTCGCATTGCTGCGCGAGCAGCACTAAATAAAAGTCAGCAAACTTTCACACGCAAACTTTCAAGGCTTCAATTCTTGGTTTAGTCAGCATACTCATTACAAGCTCCCAAGTGAATGTGTTCGTTCGTAGTGCTGTGATAACCTGCACCAGCGTGTACAAATATTGCAGATACACATGGTTGAGGTTGTGCTGGACGGAGTCTTCTGGTATCCGCCGATCCATCCATTACTGGATCGAAACTCATGGCAGGCATCCTACTGGTCTGCATGTTTTGGTAAAAAGGAGTCGGAGCCATCAATGGTGGGGATCCTGACCATGGACCTTCGCAATCTAAGAATGGGGACGGGATGATTTCGATGTTATATTTTTGAAACTTGCGAAGTGGATTGGAAAGATTGGAGAGTTCGCGACGAAGTTGACGAAGACGCTCTCGCGCAATATCAATTTTGTTAGCGAATAGAGATTGTTGAGGTAGAGAAGTGGATCGTTGCGTGAGTTCAGACATGAAGTCTCTTAAGTGAGGGGTAAAGGTGAAACGTTTATATTCAAGTGAATATGAATATATTGATACTCGAAAATTGTATTAGGGAGGGCGGAACACTAGCAGAAACTTGCAGCTAAGAGGACCGATACGTGAGTAACAACGTGTACTTATGATTTTCGCAATGATTTCTAATTTCGAATCGACGGACTTGAAGGAAAGAACAGGGTGGCGAGAACGATGTTTGATGGGGGCCGTTTTCTCTAACTCTGTCTCTGTCGAGGTTGCAATTTATATCAAAAACAACTTGGTTATTGGGACTATACACAAGTCAGACATCAACCGTCACAGATGCAGCTCATTATGGGGTATACCATAGGAATATCTCTGATTGCAATGAATGTCCTGTAATATACAAGAACAGAAAGCTTTTCCGTCACAAGAGACTTCGGTTAACCTCGAAGATATATTCGGACAGTAGAATCAATATCAGAGATACAAAAAAGGACGGCTGAGACGTTTGAGATCCGAACAATAATTTAGGTAAAGCTTTACGAAGTATGTTTAGAAAACGAGTGTATGTGAATGTGTGCGTGAAAGAGATAACTGTGCGGTTCTGTAAGAGAGAAATGATGGACGCGGTGGTAATGTCTAGAGTTGAGGAGGAAGAAATCTTAGGATGTAGAGTAAAGAGAAATATCTTTTGTTGACATTGAAATATGTACCTTGTACACTATTACATAGTAAGATTGAACGGGCAGTGAGGTTGGAGATGAAAAGGGAAGGAGCTGTTCACTTAAAAAGTTAAAGAATAATGAAAATGATCTCATTTAATCAGAGATCATCAATTCACCCGTCAAACTCTCTTCTTTCTCTCAAGAGGAATTAATCCATGTTTCTTTCCCCATCCTCCTTGGATATCCTAGTAGATTCAATCATCTTCTCATAACATGAGGAAGAGCAATGCGACGAGAGTGAAGTCGGGAACATCAATTTTATATTGCATGCACGTGATCCTCATTTTGACCGTACTTGACTGGCTGTCGCTGGCACTGGTGGGGTTGGTTCGTTTAGGTCCGCACCGCCTACACTAGGTATGGGTCGTCATCTTGAAGCTTAGATTCAAACGCCAACGGTCAATACCAGCTGTTAATTATCAGCACAACTTATTTACATTCTCTAAAGCTGTCGCATAACTTTCTCATCACTTCTGGGTCTGCGTTGCGCAGCTTTATTTCAATATGGCTTCTCACACTCCGGCCGTTGTCATGGACAAGTACGTTCGAGATCCCCACAAGGCATTCTATATCCCCGTGTCCCGAGTAAAGGGATGTTATCTATTTGTACAATTACTGATACTTTAACGATAGCGGTACCGGTTACTCCAAGCTTGGTTTGTTTTCTTCTTCCGAGAAGATAGGCACACAACTAATAATGCCTCAATTATAGGTTTCGCTGGAAACGATTCTCCCTCCTTTGTCTTCCCTACCGCCATAGCGACCAAAAATGCCGCAGGAGCTGGTGCAGGTTCTGGATCTGGACGTCCTGCAGTTGCCAATAAGCCTTCATATCTTACAGGTGGTGCTGGGCCAGGAGGACATCTTTCAATGAAACGTGGAACTGAAGATTTGGACTTCTTCATCGGAGACGAGGCATTAGCAGCCGCAAGTGGACCAGGTGCGAATAAATCATAGAATATATGGAATTGGAATCGTTCTGATAATTGCAGGTTATGGCATAAACTATCCAATTCGTCACGGACAAATTGACAACTGGGTAAGGAGGTCAAAGGCTATGATCAAGGCGAGGTGACTAACATGAAATATGCAGGATCATATGGAAAGATTCTGGTCCAATTCGATATTCAAATACCTCCGCGTTGAGCCAGAAGATCATTACTTTTTGTTAACAGAACCTGTATGTGCTCGTTTCTCAAGTCCGTATGAAATTTCCACTTACCGATATTTCCCAGCCACTCAATCCACCCGAGAACCGTGAGAATACTGCCGAAATTATGTTCGAGTCCTTTAATTGCGCTGGTCTATACATTGCCGTCCAAGCTGTACTCGCATTGGCTGCGTCGTGGACTTCATCTAAAGTTTCTGATCGATCCTTGACCGGAACCGTGATTGACTCTGGAGACGGTGTAACACACGTAATTCCTGTTGCGGAAGGATACGTTATTGGATCATCAATTAAATCAATTCCTATCGCTGGTCGAGACATTACATACTTCATTCAATCCTTACTTCGAGACAGAGGTGAACCGGACTCCTCATTGAAGACTGCCGGTGAAATTAAAGAAAAATATTGTTACGTCTGCCCAGATATTGTCAAGGAATTTGGTCGTTTCGACCGCGACCCTACGAGATTCGAGAAACATACCGTTACTCAGCCCGGCGGGCGTCAAGTAACTGTTGATGTTGGTTACGAACGGTTCCTTGCACCAGAAATCTTCTTCAACCCAGAAATTCACTCCTCCGATTTCTTGACTCCACTTCCAACAGTGGTCGACGGCGTCATTCAATCTTCGCCTATTGATGTTCGTCGTGGACTGTACAAGAACATTGTCTTGTCCGGAGGAAGTACATTATACAAAGATTTTGGTCGCAGGTTACAACGTGATATCAAACATTTGGTAGATGACAGAATTAGAGCCAGCGAAGCACGAAGTGGTGGCGCAAGAAGTGGAGGTTTGGAAGTTCAAGTCATTTCCCATAAGAGACAACGACATGGACCATGGTTTGGTGGTAGTCTTTTGGGTCAGACCCCTGAGTTCAGATCTTATTGTCACACCAAAGCAGGTAAGTTGTATTTTTTCTCCTGTCGGTTGAGTACATTACACTAATATCAAACAGAGTATGATGAGATAGGTCCAAGCATTGTCCGAAGATTTGCTCTGTTGGGAGGACCAGGAGGATCGTAAGGAGCTAGACAAGTGGTCGAAAAGATAGAGCATTTGAGGGAGTGAAAACTATACATATATTGAAGAGCAAGCGGAGTTTTGGGAGAATGAATGAAGCCATCATTGCGAAATAAGACGTCTCAAGTTACGTAGATTGAGATGTAGTCGATGAAAATTGATTGAATTGTTGCACAATTGACCATTGTTGTGTGATATTCTCTGATCTAACAAGTGATGCGATGTCAACTCCATGTTGCTAACTCTGAGTAAAGATACATCAAGGACATGAAGGGATCTATCATAGTGCACATTTCCCGGTGAGCCTATGTGCCTTCGAGTTATTCCTTGCACAGAGCCCGGTCTGAGTTTCTTGTTCACGTGACCGTTGTAATTGCGGGGTTGACAATCATTTGAACTTCACGACGCGACATCAAGTCAAACATAATCACTTGCCCAAACCACATCCCTTTACGAAAGTCTTAGCCCGCATATCTGTCAGATATCGCCAAATCGATTTTAACTCTCGCAAACAAAGATCCTTTAAACATAAGTTACAATCGCAACTGAATTACAATTGAAAAAACAATCGCAACCATGGAGACAGACGCATCCAATATCCCGCTTCCCACAAATGAGGATCTTTCACCTACAGAGCAAGATTTATTGGATGAGTATGAGCGCTTGGCGGAGAACATGAAGACTGTTTGTTTCTCCTCCTCTTCCCTCTTTGCTCTTTATCCTCTCTCCTCATCTTTCCCCTTACCCCGATTCTACAATATGGTTCACAAAGCTCATCAATGCCCGAAACAGCTCGCACACACTCTCGAAACAATGTCCAATAATCCCACAGCCTATATTCTCGATAATTTGCGCCAGTTGGAGCGGAAAACAAGTTTGGTTTTTACGTTGTTGAAAGCGAGTGTTTATAGTATTGTACTACAGCAGCAGATTAGTGAGGAGAGGAATGATGATGGCGCAGGGGAGGGGAGTGAGGAGGGGGATTATGAATGATGTGGTTGCGATGGTGGAAATTGTTTGGAGGGGTTGCTTTCTGTACGACTGCATGATTTAGAGGCTGGGTATTCAAGCTCATTTAATAAGGGAGAACTATTTCTCTTGACCACTATGGAAGTTCGACAAGGAAACACCAACTTAAGATTCGATACTTCTAAGGAATTTGTTGAGGTTGCTCAATTTGTGGGATATGGGATTAATCATGGAAAGTGAAAATCGGATTTGACAGAGGGTAGACGGGAATGATAGGAGTTTCAGATCAGCTTATGGCGGCAAGATTTACACCATTGATCTCAGGACAGAGTCCATCAGTACGAGATATCACGAATTACAGTTGTCAGATCGAAACTCGGAAGGGAGGAATTGCTTCATCTGTCGTTTAGGAGTTCTGGACTAAGATACCCACACATAACATGTGTAATGCAACTTGCATATCAAAATCTTTTCTCATATAAATCTTTCCCCCATTGCAATATCATGAATTCATGCCATGTTTGCTTTTCCATATGCTTTTGTGCTCATTCCCAGCATTACGCCAGTCCATGCAAACGCACATTCATTTTCCGCATCCATCTTGTAGTACTCATACAATATGTAATATACATGTACATATTTCCTCTCTTTTGTTTCAGTGTATCCGCCCATCATGTACCCCTTATACCTTTCCTCCATAGTATACCTTCCTCACATCCACAAGTTTCTTTCCTCTTCCCCTGGCAATCTCGTCTGGTATCCTTTGTTTCATTAATGCTTGGTAGGTGGCTTTGACAGTGTTCATCTTGTTTCTCGAGCGTGGTACTTTGGCTGACAGGTCATGAATACCTACTGCCTTCGCCATATCAAAGATAAGTTTTTGACATCGGAGACCGAATCCTAAAATTTAAGAATGAATTAGCCCCTCTTATTGCCCCGCATTGCCAGAAACTCGACGTGAGAAGAGTGATATAAAAATTAAAACATACCTGGAGGTCTTGCCATAAGCTTAACTTCAACCGCACTAACCTTCCCTTCGACATCCCCATAAATCGTTCGTTCCTCATATCTCGGAATTGGTTGCATATTCTTAATAGCCGCAATCTTTGCATTATTATTCGTATCTTCCGGTTCCTGGCCCTTTGCCTCTCCTATACCTAGTCTACCTCGACCGTTTCCTGCGATTGCCAATACGTACATACTGTCGATTTTACCTAGACGAGTTTGATTGACAACTCGATGGCTGACCAGGATTTTGGTGTCAAGTTCGAAGATTTCATTCATGGTAAGTCCAGTCTGGTGACGCAATTTCGTATAAATTCCATCCGGATCCCTAGGATCAAGATTGTCCTCATCTTCCTCGTCCACCTCCCTTCCAATCTCCGCAGTCTGACCCGGGTCCTTTGTGAAATCCCCAGGAACCTGCGGGGCAATCGCAAAAGTACTTGGATCGCCCATTTCCTTCTGCAGCGCCTTCAGCGAATCCAATCTATTTGGCCTGTGCTTCTTTTCCCACTCCGGATCCTCAGGATCTATATCTTCAGGATTCTCCTCTATAACTTTATCCATGTACGCCACGAATTCGTCTCCGATCTTGTCCTGATCCAGCGTCCAGTTTGGATCAATTCGATAGTCCATGATCTTCTTGTCGATTACCGGTTGCGTCAAACTCAAATCATCCATATATTTTAACCTCCCCAAATCCGTCCGTATCACTCCATGACTTTTCAGATCATCTGCATCGACCGATTCCTCTGCAGCCTCAATGGCAGCAATTTGCTCTGGGGTATATCGTTTCCCTAACAAAGCCTTCTCTTTGTCGCTGTATCCAGGGTAGAGTTCCTTCGCGGGAGCAGCATCGAGCTCCGATTGTTTTATGCTAGCAAAACGGGCACGACGTCGTGCGGGGAGGGGAGTCGAGGCGTGGAAGTTTTGTCGTCGGGTGAGTGGTCGTAGGGAGGGGAGAGGCGCGTTGAAGAGACATCGCGCTGGACGGGAGACACTCATTGTGGGGTGCTTTGGGTGTTGCAGGTTTACTGCACGTCTTTTCGGAGCCCAATTCCTGGATTTCGAGATTCAGTTCGAGATTCATTTGGTGAGAAAATTAGTCGCTCGGACACTTTTTTGAGAGTCACGTGCCTGACCTTGCAGGGGTCTTGGGAGGGGGTTTTGTTGACTTCATCGCCGAATACTAGAGCTTGTTTACATAATCTAATATGATCTTACTAGTTATTACTAGAGACGTTTGATCATCAGAATCGAGGTCGTTCTAATTTGATATTCAAAATTGAATGCTACATTGCCATCTGATGATACTGGTAGTCAGACCATACGGAATATTGTTTTACTTTGAATTGGAAATGCTGTTCTATATGTAACCTTTCGTACCCAGATATTCATCGGTGCATGTAGTTTCGTGCGTGGGGCCACGAGTGATCTCAAGTGGTAGGAACGTATTCTGTCAAGACTTCTCTCAAGAAGTCGATTGTCTACACATCGTCTCTTATCCTGTTGAATCCAAAAGAATTAACTACACAAATACTTCATGACTTCCTCCAGGATACCTCATGAAGTTATCACAGCATATACATCTCAGTCGTCAACACCACCACCACATTATGCCACTTCCTATCACGTCGCAAAGAACATTACAGGTAAAAGTCATATTCGTCATTAAATTGCCAATTCATATCCCAATCGTTACTTTAAAGTTCAAACACTAGGGAATCCAAATAAAGCCTCGAATCAAAGATTCTCTCCTACTCAGCCGTAGAAAAAAGACAAAAACAAACGATGAACCAGCCGTGAGGCAAGAAGTATAAGAAAGACCACGCCCATTTGTATAACCGCACTCTTTTCCTCATGTCATTTTCGTTTTCCACTTCCAAGCTTATACTTACGTGTTATCCGTTTCTTGCCTTGTATCAAGCTACTTTAGGTACTGTGCTTTCATTATGTTCAAATTCTTGTCCTCATTCCTCAATTTTCCATCTGTGTTTTTTGCCCTGTGTCCATGCTGTCTTGCCTTCATTCTACTTTCCTTCAGGCCCCGTATCATGTCTTTGAAATCCCCTCAACTGTTCATTGGGCCCTCTCAATACCTCAATTCCAAATCAATGGAACAGGGTGGTACTTAGCCCTCCACTCCTGGCCGGAAAAAAACTGAAAATAATTGCAAGTGCGAAAGGGGGGAGCAGGAAGCAGCATACCATGCCAGCACCAAGCAACTGCAAAAAAAAAAAAAAAAAAAGCAAATGAAGAAATCATAAGTTTGGAAAAGTAAATATATATTCAAGGATAGTTCAGAAGTAGATATACAATATTATGAACAAATTTCTCTTTCTCATCAACAAAAATGCACCACGAATATCCATCAAATCAGTAGAGCCTGTCGCATCTCCTTTAAAGACTCATAATATCATCATAAGCCTGAGCCAATTTTTATCTTTCTGCTTCTTATGTAATCTTCTTTTTCTTGTTTGTAAATGACAGTCAAGAATGTTATGTGAACAATTTTCCAATCCAGCCCACCTTTTCGTTCATCAAATTAATGTTATGAGAATGTGAAATAAAGGCCGTTATGCGTTTGTTTGTGTTTAAAATCAGAAGAAATGAAAGTCATCGTTGAAGAAATAATAGAAAGGGTATCGAGATTCGAAGATGAAAAAATTGAAGCAATTTCAACATCAAGGGAAGAATACAAACGAAAGCAGAATAAAAACGCCACATTATGCGAAAGAAATAGAGATGATCAAATCATTCCACCTTCCATAGTCCCTTGATACGCAGCTCGCACTTCCATAGGATGTCTCTCCATCTGCATTCCACTCGAAGGAGTAGTTGTAACACTCCTATTAAGTGGAGGTGGTACAGGCCAAGTTGGGGGAGGAATACTTTCATATGGACTCCCACCATTCTCGGTTGGACTTTTTGTCACTCCTTTATCAACAACAGGACTCGAATTATTCCTACCACGGCTAGCGCTTCTCAAACGTTCTGCGGCTCGCGAAAATCGGTTCGACAATGAGTTGTCCGTCTCGGAACGACCGCGGTTATGCGTGTATATGTGAGAGACAGATGATGTGCGGCGACGTTCGAGAGTGGGTGGAATTGGAGGTGGTTCCATTATAGAACCAGAGTTCATTGTTGGTGAGGATAAAATGGTGGGAGTTTTGCTCTTGGGAATCATGGGAATTGGTTCGTCGTCCATTACTATTTCGATGACGCCGGAACCGGAAGAGACGCCAGAGATACCAGAGCCTGATGATACACCCGATACCATGGAGTTGGTGTTTGCATGTGGTCTATACAATGGAGCGGGGGGCGGTGGTGGGGGCAGAGCCAAATGTTGTAGTTGCGGAAGAAGAGGAGGAGCTGGTGGGGGTGGTGGTGGTGGAGGAATCAGATCATGGTTTGGATGGTGCATAGACATTGCTTGATTTGCCTCGATAGTTTCGTCGATTCCAGTCAACACATTTACAGGTCCACTTGCGTAAACCGGACTTCCACTTCTACTTCCGCTCTCACCATGGGGATCTCCGGAGATTTGTCTACGAGAAGATTGGGTGGGTGACATTCTTTCTCTGGTATCGGGTGTACGTCTTGAAGAACTGGATGGAATTGCGGCTTGAAATGCGGGATGTAGTGGTAGACCTGCTGGGATTACATTTGGCTTGTAGAAATTTTCTTCTGGGATCGGAGCTGAGGCAGATCGAGGTGGCATACGTCGAGGTGGCTGAGATGCCTGGTACACAGTTTTTGGAAGAGGCCCAAAGGTATCATGCGGACTATCAGATGAACTGTTGAAAACTGCTGCGCTCAATGTTGCTGCTGCTTGTGATGGACCCGTATCATATCTGTTCGGAATTTGAGGAACTTGTGGAATACGATCTGCACCATTACCTTCGGGATCATACTTAGGATGACGCATAGCTCTTGGGGTTGCTGGTAAACCGATCTGCACGGATGACTCTGGAGCTGAACCAAAACCGCTGTTTGGAGAAGTATTGTTTGGTGTAGTCTGTTGGCTTCTAGGAGCTTGTGGACTTGCTTTAGGAGGCGAATACGACGCTACTGATCCTTGCTCGGGGAAATTGGTAGAGGGACGATAAGCTAGTGGTGACAAGCCGCTCAGTTCTCCTGGATGAATGATTGGTGGCGCCAATGGTCTTTGAGCTAAAGATTTACGTCTTTCTTCAAGCTCTCGCGCAGCTTGTTCTCGCTTCAATGCTCGCTCATCTTTTGGATCCATCTTTTGCTGTCCAGGGGCCTTTTGTACTGACTCTGACTGTGTTCGTAAGTGAGATTGTGACTCAGTACCATCTCGAGTTAAGTATGGCGATCTTTGACCTTCCAATGGTCTTCGACTTGTAGATCTCTCACGACGTCTCCCATTTGGTGAAGACCCTCGAACAGCACTTGTACCACGCTCTCTGATACGGCTACCACTTCTCAATCTGAATGCAAGTTGATCTGCCTTTGCTGCCCGCAAGTCCTCGAAATCAGCAACTTCATCTTCCTGGTAGAATTTTGCTTGAGGAGAAAACGGCAACGGAGAGGAAGGAGAACGAACTGCTGATCCAGAACGTCCTGCGCTTCGGCCTCGGGCATCTCGACCGCCTACCCTAGTTTCAGGACTGGCTGGTCGGCGACTGGCGTTGCGACTTGTTTGACGGCTAGATGTTTTGCGTGGCTCAGGAGATTGTTTTCGGACTCGGCTAGCCTGTCTTGAAGATTTGAATCCCGTTTGACTATCCGTTCTGAACTGCTTGTCCTGAATCATGACTTCACTATCTGAGATTGCGGCGCCAAGATCTCTCAGGTCTTCAGGCGACATTGGAATAGGCGAGGTTGGCGAACGCTTTGCAGGTTTGATGTATTGGACGATATTTCTTCCTCTGTCTTCCGAAGTTTCTCTAGCCTTTGGCTTTCGGCTACTGCTGCGAGCTCTTCCGCTTCGATCTCGGCTAGCTTGCCGACTCCGTTGTTGTTTCTTATGATACGTGGCTGTATCCAAGCTATTGATGTATTGGTCAATGCTTCTGCCATGCAAGACTGGGCTTGTTGTTCTGAAACTTCTTTCGCTATTCAAAGGGCTTCGGGCATTACTTGAGGCTGAAACGGAAGCGGCTGATGATAGAGCAGCAGAGCTCAAAGGGTCGCCAATTGAGCGGTTAGTCCGATGATCGTGGCGGGATGACACTGTTGGTTCTGGAGATGACATGTAATCGCCTGTGATTATAGATTCCATCGGTGGCCACTGGATCTGTAGCCCATCTGGCTTACGATGTCGTGATCCGTTCCTCGTACGATCGTCTTGCTTCTTTAAAGTAAATGTATCTGGCGATGGCGAGGGCAATGGATTGGCAATCTTCTTTTGGGTCATGGGTGTCGTAGGTCTATTCTTTGTAATTGGAGTATATGTCGCCGAGCTTAGTTGCAATGGTTCCGCCTCCGCGTCACGGGCATATTGGCCGACTCGCTCCCGGTCTGAACCAGAATCACCAGGGGTTGACGGATTCAATGGCTCTAACCTGACACGAGGTATGACATCGTTAGGTGTTTCGCCGATGGATGGAAGACGTCGACGTGAGAAACCACCAGGTGTTGCCGTTCGTGCAGAGGCTGGTGTATGATATGCGCTACGATTACCTGGTCTCAAGAAAGCAGTATGTGCTGTATCACCACCTGGAGAAATAGCAGATTCCTCGATTGGTGTTGGGCCAGGACCAATCGGTGTCTTATCATTATCAATACCAAAGAACTTTGACTTCTGCTGTTTATCTCCGAAAGCAGTGATTAGTTTCAATGCCGACGTCTTCGCAATACTGCGCTGTGGACCTCTATGACTAGGAGGTGACAAAGGTGGGCTTAATAATTCGGGAATACTTTGGCTATGAATGTTGGTGAAAGTTGCAGCTTGAGCAGATGGTGATGTCCAAGGCTCCGACGATTCAGATGCTGTACAGGAAAAGCATCGAATAGCCAATTGTTGTTGACCGTGCTGAACAGCCCACTCGCCCCATTTTCGGATTAATGCGGCTTGTCGAGACCAATCCGATGGAAAAACATGACTCGTCAAAATTAATGCTTCCATGAAACGTTTGTGGGAGACGTATATCTCGATTGCATCATTTTGATCACCCATACCAATCATAATTGTAGCAGCAGTGTGGACATCTCCCTTTTCTAGGAGTCGTTGAACATAAGCTCTAGCGACCTTGGTTTGCGAAGCTTGTCCTCCAATTCCACTTAGGGCTAGAAGCATCCAGTCTGAAGAAGTCATTGATTCGGAGCTTGTAGCCATAATATCCAGCTCAAGATCGCCAATCCATTTAGCAAGAAGAACCCTATGAGTTGATCCCATTGGTGCTCTGTTCATCTCATCACGGATCAACCCCTCGACTTCTCCATCCCATCCAAATATTGTACTGAGCATTTGGATTCGAAGATCATCGTTCGTGAGATGGGCACTTTCTGAGACTTGTGGCTGACGGTAAGGAATATCACTTAACCTAGATTTGGTATACTTGAATAGCTCCACGACATGACTTCCTGACTCATCGGGGCTACGGAGTACTTCTTGTCTTAACCGAGATCCACGTTGTCGAGAACGATACGATCGTGCTGAGCTGGTATTACTTTGAGCATACGAGTCTCTACTTGATAGAACAGAAGGTTCTCGAGCAGTGCCAGTATGGATCGATGAGCCAAATGACATAGTTGTTGCTTCACTCATACCTCCACGTGATATAGCCGATAAGCCTGAAGAATGTTTTCCGTGATGCCGAGTATTATGTGGCCTTGAGTCTGCGGATGACCTAGTAGAATTTGACGTGCGACTTCTCGATGACACAGGCGATAATGTTTCGGAGCGGTCAGGCTCCATGGCCTCTACACGTAATTGCTGTTCGATTTCATCACCACGTCGAGCAATCCTAGCCAGCGGTGACATCCGATCGGAGTCACTTTCGGAGATGTCGATATTTATTGGTACAGCTGAAACTTCGGCTGCGACCGCTTGAGCGGCCTGCTGTTTCTGCTCTTCAATAGAAACAGGGGGAGAAGGTGGCAACAAATTGGCTGGATGTTGAACATTTGCCACCATTTGCGGTGGAGAATTAAGATCAAATTGCTGTGCCGTATTATTCGGTCCCAGCGTGAAGAGGGTTGCTCCTGGTCCGTAAACAGCTAGACCTTTCACAATATCCAGTGTCGGGACTTTCTCGAAAGTGACCTGTTTCGTTCGAACGTCCCATGACGATGTTTCCCTGTATCACACCTTGTGTAAGTGGTTGCTGCTAAGCGCGCGCCCATGGCCTTATGCAATGTGGGGAACAAATAAGGGGAGAGCACTAGGTTTACTTACCCTTCGGAAAACTGAATGATACGACCATTTTTTGACCAGCCCAGCCAATTAGGACCGGTTTGAAAATTATCGGATCGTTTCAATACCCGGACTACTTTGGCTGTGTCATTGCTAGTGGGTGATTTTGCTATACTCCAAACCCGTAGATCGCCGTCATTGGTTTGAGATGCTAACATGTCCGACTTCTGGCGTGACGATGATGCATGCCACGATAGTGTGACGATCGGAGATGGCCCTCTTGAAGTTGTCAAGTTGTGAAGAATTATGAATCTTGGTTGCAATGCTGCGATCAATAGAGATCCATTTGAAAATCTGTGACTAAATCAGCGAAAGTGCCCAAAAATGTATCGCTGGAATTTTACATACCCAATAGCATATGTCCTACAATCTGCTGCTGGTGCCAAAGCCGTAATTGGAATTTGATCTAAAGTTCTTGAGGATATATGCTCTGATGTGGTCGGTTCAAAAAGAATAACATTTCCTTGAGCATTTCCTGTATGAAATTCATCAGCAACAAAGCCCAGACCTCCATTACCCCGCCATACGCACCAAATGCAACATTTCCGTTGCGCATCCAAGCTGCGACCGTAAGATTTTCGTAACTCGCAAATCGGGCAATTTCGTCTCCCGTCATGCAATCCCATACAATTGCGGTTTGGCCAGCATCGTAACTCACTACTAATCTTCCAGCTCCTCTTTCACTAATATTATCCACCGCTAACAATTGTATCTCTTCTGTGTGTCTAGAAAACCGTCTTTCAATCTTAAGGGTATCGTGATGAGCGCAGACAACCGAATTTCCTTGCACATATAAGAACATCGATGCTGTCGCAGCACAAGGCTCGAAATCGCGAGGCACGGCGATTGGAGGCATACTGACTTCGGCCAATGTGGCTCCAGTACCTTTGGATGAGTGGCCGGATCTCATTGATATCGACCGGGTCCTTGCGACAGACATGGTGGTGATAACTTCAATATCTGTGGATCGAGCATCGGAATAGTTAGTCGGACCGCTGCATGAGTATTTTTCTGTCCAAAGGTTGACTACATGAACACATGAAGACACGACAAATCTGGGAGTCCAATGCTTCTTCTACTTTTGATAATAGAGAATGTCACTTACAGATATATCAGCTAGAACTCAGGCCTCTTGCCGTTCTCCCTCGCTGTTGTGCTTTCTGCAGTACAGAGGGCTGATCACTATCCACGCCCGATTCTATATCGGTTGTCCCATGGGATATTGTGTATGGCGGGCGGTAAAGAATAGCAGTGGGTAACTCTAGCTACCGAATCAATGGATGCGTTCTGCAGTGTCGCCGTGAACAACTGTGATGCGTGGTTGTGTTCCGGGGACTCGTTCTAATATTCGTTGTGCAATAGTCGAGAAGGAAAAGGTCAAGAACGTTCAATGTACAACTGTAATGAGGAGAATAAGTTCCAAAGTGAGTTGAAGTGAGTTGAAGTGGTACGAAAGCAGACTACAAGACATCAATAGCACTAAAAAGATCCTCGTCTCATGCCTGGAGCCAACCGAATCGCAAGACGGCAGATATGGCGCTTGTATGGGTACCAGAGAAAGCAGCAAAAGATCACTACACGCTATATGAAAAGATAAAAAAGACTGGAGACAAATTGACCCTGGAAAATGAGCACAATAACCGTATATGGCTTTTTTGGTGGTTAATAGCTTTCGTTACTAAGTCCGAGAGCGTTGTAGGGTTTATAGGGCACGATGGGACAGAGCGGCTAATCAAAGATTCTTTGAGCTATCAGTGGATAATGCGGAGACCAAATTAGAAATTGGCACCTGCGAATTTGTTCGATACGCATATCCAGCCGAACCATGGGATACAGAATGTGGTGTGGAAAGTGATGCGGTTGCGGTCCGGCTCATGTGTCTAGCACCAAGTAAGAAGTCGAGATAGACAAGCCACTATACCGTCTACATACCGCTTAAAGCAAACCCTGGTAAATAAGCTTCTAGCATGCTATTCAAGGGTTGACGCCCCCCTTCAATGGATGGATGGTGCTCGGGCTTGTATTCTCAATCCATTTATACCCTGTCAAATCGTTATGCATTCTGTCAGGGCTTTTGCGACCCTTTTTCGAGGCTGCTGACGTGCGTTACTTGATTTGCCTTTCTGATCAACGTATTGATAGAGGGGAGCAAGAATGTAATGATTGTGATGGTGACCACATACTGTATTCTTGGTCACAGCAAGTGGGTCAATGTATTTTGCATTCATTCAAATGTCAGAAATTCAGATTAGAAAAAGAATTAGGTTTGATATGAAAGACCCGGAATAGAGATAGTACGAAATTTGATGACTGGGAACAGTATACCGTCTTTTGAAGATAATTGGAAGCAATTGGTAACCTTACAATGGGGTAATCAAAAGAGAGGGGAAGATTCAACGTTAACATGCCTGGTCGATCATTAATTGGATAGTCGGGTTGACATTTTGGTGCAATGTACCCTCACCTGACTCTTCGAGTTGCGTTGAAAATGGAATATCTCGGCATAGTAACAATACCTGGTACAAGCCGGATACATCTATTGGAAAGCAGTAAGACGAATCATGGATTAGTATATAGTGTATAGTACCTCTATTCCAAGAGAGGCTGTGAGAAAGAGACATGAAAGGCCTTGTACTAGATAAGTACTAGGTAGTCACGTATCAAAGTTATTCTTAGGTGTACACGATTCTTGAATATGTACTGGACGAGATGATATCTACAGGTGGATATTCTTAATTTCTGTGATATGTACCCAACATCGAATAGGTACCCTATGAAAGAAAGATCCTCCGAGATAGTTAGACACGGATTCATGTTGCTCATGTTGTGTTGTACAAGGTGATGAGATGAGGAATGGTTGAACTCATCTCTTGATTCGAGTGATTGCCCTGATGAGAAGTGATATTGGTGATATTAGATTCTGAAAGATTCAAGGTTAATTGGTTAAATTGATGAAAATAGTTGAATCTGATGATTCTATTCGTTCAATTAGTTTCATTCTATAATTCCACCATTCCACTAATACCATTAGCATCGGATGGGCCCTTGTATCTGATCCTTGTGCTTTTGCTCCACGATGCTCCACGGTTTTCTCATCGCAAGGCACGTAAGCGCCATTACTGGTCAAAGCAGTACGGGATTATTCTTAGCGATATGTACGAGATGCAAGATGAATGCCATTCATCACCCAGAGTTGATCCTATCAGAGAAGGTAATTGCCATATCAATGGGCAACGGTACATGGTTGGCACGGCGTTTTTTTGACCATCGAGTCGTTGAGATGATATGGATGGTTGAATGGCGGCTTTGTATACCTTTTAAATGACTACTCGTACCTTGGTATTGTACATGAATTGAGTAACTAATGACTAGAAAGAGATTGAAAGAAGACGATTGGAAGAGAATTGAAAAGATGAGAGGATCAGACGAGTCCCACTAAATTCCACATATCTAAATATGAACAATTGATTGTTATCAACTCCGATTTCCGTCAGGTCATATCCATCTACTCGAGGCGCCAACAAAGGTGTTGTTCCCATGGCATGTTTCGTACAACCACGAAAGAACTTAAAGATGACATTTTATTGAAAAAATTCAATAACAGTTCGTTGTATTCGTTATACTCCTCGGCGACATACCATCTCTCAAAAATTTCCATTCCGACTTTACATTTGAGCCTATGTACGATTATATCCAAGGTAGCTCGGTAGGTAGGTAGTATCTTAGGGTTATTCATTCTCATTCAAGCTATTCACACGGAATATCATCCGATTCTCGTTACTTGCAGTTTGCATCGTGTCAATCTTCCGAATTCGATCAAAGCTACACATACCGGCTCTCCAGGTATTTTTCATCCGTCCGCCCATCCTTACATTCATCCATTCACCATCCTGATCTCTGATCAATCTATCTATGGTCAATCTCTGGTCCAAACTCAGTAGGAGCCGAAATAAAACCAACGGAAAGATCATCGTCCGTGGCCAGATTTTGATTGCAATTGCGCGAACGAACATGGATTCAGCACCTTCCGAGTTTCCCATTCCCCTGCTTTGAAGAATCCTTCCTATATTTGGGGGGGAAATAAAGGATTTGGAGAAAATCTAACTCCGGTAAGAGGGTAGCTCGGGTAGGTAATACGTGAGAACTGTAAAAGATCTCTCCTAAACCCGTGCAAACCTAGCGATGTTGTTGCTTGCTGCTGGTTAACCTAGAGGAAGGAAAATCTGAGCACATCCGAATCCGATAACAGATCCACCCCTGTCCCTATCCCATCCCATATCACACACAAATAAATTGAAATGAGTATCCAAGGGAAAAGGTGATGGCTTGAAAGTATAACAGCTTGCATCCTTCCGTCTGGATGAAAGTCTTTTATCATGTCGTATTCATTCCACGAATAATGGTTGCATGAGGGGTGACGGGATTGTGCTTGATTTCGTATATGATTTGCTATATCCATATTAAGACATTTGTGATGTGAAAACTTTTCCTCCGAATATTTATAGGTTTTTTTTACATTTCAAAGAGTCTAACTAACCTGGCTATCGGGGAAGTATGAGATATCATTTTCTACCTCTTAGAATGCTACTGAGACATTTCACGCGGGTGCCCAAGTGTGATTGAAGAACCATCTCTACATGCTTCCCTCATTTTCCATGAAATGCCCTCCTATCATTATTCGCTACTCCTGTACCGTCTCCTTCCTCACTACTCTCGCCAAGTCGATCTCGAGAATTCCCACGGTCAAATTATCGTCAATGAGGACCACAAAATTCAATCTTACAATGTAATGTATACATCCTATCCTACCTTACCTACTGCGTAATGTAAGTCTTACAAGAGCTCAACATGCACTGTATAACATAGATGTCCTTCGCCGCAGAACAAGGCACAGTACATTTTTCCTGCACTACACTGCGGCTACTGTACTGTTATGTATGTATGTACGATAGGACCACATGTCTGACCTACATTTGCTGCGGAGAGAGGATTTTCCGTATTGCATGCACCGTATCATATCTAATTCTAGCCCCCACTGGTCGAAGAACAGGTCGAAACGGTACGAAACGATATATACCGCCTCTTCTGATGTATGATGATATATTTGTACAGTATGAAACATATAGAAATAGCAACTAGGAATCTTAACCATGTCGTATCTCCATGTTGAGAAGCGTGCACGCATAATTTGTAAGCCTAGGGTTTCGATTAATAGATACCTAGGTAGTTACTCGAAAGCGATTTCGGATTAACTTCAAAGTACCGGTCAACAGGTCTGATCAAATCAAGCCTTCGCCCTGCCCAGCATTCAACTGCATACCCAACCCAAGGCACTGCTTCCTACTGGTAAGTATTTGGTGATAGAATTACAGAAGTGATGAATATATGTATTTGAACCAGACCACGTCGAATTCCGATTTATCCATTGATGGTTTGGGACAGTCTGATACTTGGCATCGCTTGTGTTATCCCAGCTTGTTAAGATTCAATATCATTGCTTAGTCTACGGGGAAAGATACCGGCGGGGGTGGAGAAGGTCTAGTTCCTTAACGACTCCCGAGCTTCTTTCCTGAGCTGCTCCGTCATTTTCCTTATGGCGACACCGAATTCGGTAACCAGCTAAGCTTGAATACAACCAATCCTACTCACCAATTCTTGCCAGTAATAGATTGCACAAGATTTCGTATCAGAATCCTCGAGAATCAAAGCTTACAATAGAACAGCACGTACAAAACGAACTGTACAATTGAGGCACATACATCGTGGCTCATGATCTTCAACGCTTCGGATGGGATCCGACCAAGAACGTTAATCCTCGGTATAGAAAAGGGCACGCAAAAATTAACTAACACTGCCACCATCTCGTGCATCGCCAAATCCTCATATCTCTGACTTATCATGCGGCACGGCAAGTGAGACTAGACTCATTTCTTCATCTCGGTATTTATTCCTCCATCCTTTATTTTCATTTAAGTTGACAGCCCGCCCCCAAGATCTTTAAATTCGAAACCTTCAGCAACGTTGCAGCCACACCTTGTTTTCCTCGGTCCTACTAAGTTCACCACACCCTCTTTTCTTCCCCTGTCTCGTTCAATTCCAAATCCATCACACACTGCATTTCATCCAGGCTTAATTTACCAATCCGTCGGTTCGATCCATTAAGTATGCTTTATCCAGTGAGCGAAGCTACTTGGAGTAGGGTGTACAGTAGTGCAAGCGTTTTTCTCCACACACACAAGTAGATGTACCTGGATTATAGTTCTCCACACCACCCTCGGGAAATGGGTTTGTACTAAGTCTCTCCTATTCGCATAATCTCCAGTTCGAGAAATCCATCTCTCATCTCTTTGGCGCTTTGATATTCGAAGGCGTGATGCAATATTCATACATTACAAGATTCCATCGAAATTATAGATCTAAAGTAGGAAATTATATCTCGATCCTCTTCTGGCTCTCATTTGCTCCTCCATCTTATTTTCGCCTTGCGCAACACAAGCCCGGCATTTGTTCTCCAGCAATTACAACATAGGAGGATCCTGAGAAGATCATGCATGGTTTCATGTCTTGCCATTGCGACAGTTAGAAGTGCTTGCTTGTTTGTGTCATAGAATGCGACGGTGAAGGATCAAAGTCTAAACGCTATTCCTTTAGTACATGAGTGTTCGAGTGTTCGGGAAGAGATCTGGGTGTCGAGATTTTGCTCAGTCGGTCCGCTAGTCTACTCGCAATTCCAGATTTTCATTTATATTGTCATGAGGCTTGAGGGATCAATTCGACTGACAACTACCTAGAATAAAGAGAACATTGTTACTTTTATATTGATACATGAAAATGCAAGAGAAACTAGAGAACGGCGCAAGAGAATTACCTGGCTAAATACCAAGTATTCAAAATACAGTAGGGAATTATCAAGTCAGATTGTATTTCACAATAGTAAAATATAAACTTCGTAGCTTTCAACCCGATGATCACTCGAGAGTTGAATTTTGAATGTATTAAACAGCAAGACAGCATGTAGATCATACATAACTTGCGTGTCGAACCGATTTCTTTCCTGTATCTAGGGAGTTCCTTTAGCTATTTTATCATATCCACTACCTGAGGGATATGCCAATTTATCTTAAACAAAGACACACATACACATATATGTATAACTAGAATCAAATAATAATAACCGACTTGATGTTGAAGATTCAGAAACCCTCTTAGTGTGTTAGGATAGAGCGAAGCGAAAAAGCCTCCACGGCAGTGGCCTAGCGGAGCGTCACTTCAATTTTGAGAAGTTGATCTCTTGCTTCGATATTTAGGACTGAAAGCGAGATTTGCAACTTCAATGCTTTTGTGATATATGTTAGAGATTGGATGGAAGAAGCAGTTGTCAGCTGAATGGGGTGGCGGATCAACAGCTGTGTTTTGATGTTCACGATACTTGTCCAGCTTCGAAGGATATTCAGCCAATCAGTCTAACTAATCTGTGTTAGTGTCTCTTGATATCTCGTGCTACTGTCAGTGGAACAGTGGAGTGACATGATGATTTTTGATGAGAAACATTTCAGGTACACATGACTTCTCATAACAACCTTCACGTGAAAGACTCTACCAACACCAAGCTATAATCAACTCAACATCATACATGTATAACAGGCAATACCGCAACCATCACACAAATTCAGAGCACAAGATAGAGAGAGTAAGCTCAAGTTCTGAAAGTAGAATTTAATTCATTCCAATCAAGAGATCATAGTGATCTACAACTAAACTAACTAGCATCCCCAATACACTAACAACTTAAGCGAATGCTTAACGACTTCTCCCTCCTTTCCTATCCTTCGACTTCCCTGGGGTATATTCATCATCAATCATCAATCATCAATAAACAAAAGAAATCCATCCTATCCATGCGTTCCGTATCATTTCAAGAATGTAAACACGTGCTGTCCCAAAATCAGAATCCATCCAAGCCAGTCCCGCCGGTCATCCTATGCCATGTCTGTTTCATAAGTAAATCCAATGCATGCTTGAGGTGCCTGATTTCACCATCATCGCTATGCGCCCTATCCCAGATTCCATCATCAATCTTCCCGGTGAAGAGATGCCCTATCCTATCCTATCCTATCCTATCCATGCATGTTTGCCATATCCCAAGCGAAACCCATCAGGGTATCGCATCCCATTCCATTATGTCTCCTATCCAATCTCCCTTGCATCCGAATCCCGGCAGTCGTTTGAGTTGACGAGATAAGCGGTGCGCAAGATGCAGCTCGGTGGTTATGACATGGAGTTGCCTTTATCATTCCTTCTATAATCTGTTCGTTTCGAAAGTCGCCTGTTGAAACTGATGATATCTATCTAGTGTATCTATCTATTGGGTATAAAATATTCTGATCTATTCATAATAATTAGTTACTGTATTCCAAACTCGATATCAAGGATTGGTAGATAGGGAACTTACCAGAAAAAAGATCCTATCCTAAGAACATGTTCAAACTAGTCTTTCATTCACCAACCTCGGAGATGGGTGTCATGTGTTTGCTTGAGTGTGCGCCAGAGCTGTGTCTTGACTTTCTGGAAGAAGATCCATGCTTCTTCTTGCTCTTCTCAGCTGCCTTTTCTCTCTTCTTTGCCTTCTCAGCAGCGTGTTGTGCGATTAACTCTCTCATGAGTGCTGCGTTATCGACAACGACGTATTGAGGTTCGCACATCGATCCAGAGGGAGAACGAACATTGGGTGTGGCGAGTGGTGAACAATCTTCTTCTTCAAAGACAGAAGTGTAGAGTCCACATGAAAGCTCTTCGTCGGAGAATGCAGAGGAGGTGTATGAGTAGTTTTGGGTTTGGGCATCGATAGAATCGCTAGAGTTCATGGAGGAGCGTCGAGGCCAGGATGGGTAGGCACATGAAGGAGATTGTGGACGCGAGCTGGAGGAGGAGGGAATTTCCATTGCGGAGGTGCTGTAACTTGTTGAGGGTGGAGATGGTGTGTATGAGAAATACATTTTGACTTGTTTGTATTTGTATAGTTGTATGTGTTTGAATAAATTTATCGTTTCAGAGTTAAGTCTGAAGTATCAAAAAAAATCCGGGGTCGATTCGAGATATAAATATGAATCACTCTAAATATTCCACACGGAAATATTCCTTAGATATTTTCAGACCGAGTCAGTTCGGAGCCTAAACACCTGAAAGCCCGTTCGTAATCTGCACCAAAGGAATCTCGGTATCGAGTTACACTGTTGGTGTGCAATGACTCGTTTTGGAAGTGTAACGATAAGTCTAGCGTCAGCCCTGCAAAGTACCGTATCGATATGCGATAATGGATGTCAAAGTCGTAGAAAATTCGCCAGCTCGGTAGTTTACTCAGCCCCAGTATTTATAAGAAGGGATGATGGATCGAACGGGAAAACTCCGCTTATATATAAATATAGTCCGGAGTATCTCGGGGTCTGGAGAAAAAGGCTTGAGGGATGGTAAACGTGGTAGTAGATAGTAATCGAGGGATGATGAGTGAGCTTCGGATGTAACAATATGAGATTTGATGAGGTCAGAATGAGTAAGTAGTTGTTATTGTTGGTAGTGGAGGTATTAAACTTTGTATTCTGAAAATAGTTGGTTTGAGGGAGGCGGATATCAGCAAGTAATATAACTTTTTGGATCTGGATTCGAGAATGATGATGATGATGGATGAAACGAGAATTCCGTTGTTATATCAATATCAAATTTTGTCTGTTCGTTTTGTTTTTTTGTTGTGTATGCAGGATTTAGCTCAGGTAGGTTTGCTTTATTCCTTTCCGTTGTGCTGTGGTGCATGCGTTGGGATATGTCGTAAATAATAATAATTGTATGTAGGTACCAAAGTACAGCGTAGCGTTACCATATAAAATTATATGTAGTCAAACACGAAAAAAAAATTATGTACGTCCTTTGGAATGAATCATATATGATAGACCCCTCCCGGAAGCAGGCCTGAGTCGCGAACGAACATTTTACTTGCATTTGGGGAGCGGTGGGCTGCCATGTTTTCATTCCAATCCTTGTTTACTTTTTTTTTACAACACTTACGCATAATTTTTGCAACATGGAGAAAAATTGAAAGAAACCTAGTTCCCCACGCGCGGTGTAGGGGCAAAATGGATCTGTGGCTTTTAGTAATTCCGGAAGGCAGAAACACGTTGCAACAAACAAGGAGATTACCTGTTTAGTTCGCCAGTGTCATGTATTCTTCCCGTCTGAAAGTAAGAGTTTTCAAGGCGGTGACTGAGAAATGATGGATGAACGGGGCACGACTGGGCTGGACTACTGACTCTGACAATTTTATGGGCATGGACAGACGGGGACGGGGAGATATGCAATGGGGAATTAGATTTAGCCTTAGCAGTATATCCATAATTTTGCCGGTTTCGTTGGTGCGCACACATATTCGGTTCGCCTTACCAGGTGTATAAGATTACTTTGATAATTATGGCTACTGATCACAGATCATAAACTAGAAACTCGATGGAAGGAAGCATGTGCGCGGGGCATATGAAGGAAGAAACTTCAAGAAAGGGCCTTTTGGTGGGCACTATGGGGCATTTCATGGGCATTCTCATTACCATGTATATGCCAAAAGAAAAAAAGCAAGGGAAAATGTCAAAAGAGATGAGGACTAGAACTTTGGCCATGAGTTTGGGCAACGAGAAGCCCAAACTAAAACCACGGAGTAATACTTGAAAGTTTGAAACATTTTAAATTTTTCCTTATTCATGTTGTGAACTAAACTACAAGAGTACTTATTCTCATGGTAACGGTAGTACTCAACGGGGCCTTTATGTTGAGAGCACAGATATATCCACCAACCATTCTCGCTTCTCAGAAGTACCCCTTCATCGCGAATATTTCCATCACGTATCGTCTAGACAAGAATATATAACCCAATCGGTGATAATCAATTGGGTCTTACTTCAGGAATTTAATTGACCTGACCGCCAAATCCCCCTACCGGAACAAAAGTGAATAATTTGCCTAGATCGTTCATCTCCATTCGGTCAACAGTTCAGAGGTAACACGGTGAAGCATTTCAGCGTAGCTACCCCACGCCAAAGAGTACAAGACCTATCGGAAGTGCTCTATTCATCTTGCTCGCGTCAAGCAACGTCTTTCACCGCTCTGTTTTTCATTGATCTACCTTGCATAAAACTTTGATTATCGTTCACAAATTCCTATCCCGTATCTTCACTGCAACCTTATTTCTCGAATCTGCGGTTTCGCTCCGCAAGCCTTCCGCTTTAGTATTCGAGTATTGATAGTGTTGATAGTGTTGATAGTGGTGATATGTATCGATAGATGACTATTTTCGTTAATCGTGGATTTTCAGGGTCTTAGAGTTCGATATTTGACATGACAGTTCAATGCCGGAGAATCATTTTCCAGCTGACTTGAGTTAAGATCAGTCAAGAACTGACAAGACTCAAAATACAACTCAAAGCATGGATGTCGTCAACGCTTTCAGCATGAAATCTCAACTCAAGCCGGAAACAAGGTAAATGAAGCCGGTAAGATTTGCATTCATTATATTTCCTGCACTTTCCCATTTTCATATATCACCCGGGTTCCCGTCTCAACTCCTCAATATCCTCGTTTCGTCTCCTTCATCATACATATGCCAGATACCGTAGGGTGTTCGGTGCCTCGCCTCCGCAAATTGAACGGTCCGACCGGTTACGGGTATGTGCTTTGACGAGTGCGAACGAGCGTCCTTTTTTATATATTTCTTTTTTTTTTCCTTTTGCTACGTTTTGAATATGACTCGTATTTTCGCAAAAATAACCTACTTTGATGGCATCAATTCTTTTTGATACACAGATCTTGATTTCAAGTTTTGCCTCGTCGGAAGCTTTTCGGGGAATTGTCAAGTCTAAGGGATTAGATTTTTTTCTTGTTCCGCGGTGCATTCCCTGATTTTGGTCTAAGTTTTAAGGGTCCATACGCACATTAGCCACAAAACGGTCGGATCAAGAAATAGTATGTATCTATGTACAATAGGCTTGGTTTGATATGCGTAGAGGTCTGCTGGCTGAATCAAAAGAAAACAACACATGCTTTTGAATATGCCGTTTCAGATTCGTTCAAGAAGTGTTCCCCCATATCTACCCCGTATATCGCGGGGCCAGAACAGATCAACCATATGAATGTAGATCTTGTGATAATCTTTGACCTCGAGACTCGAGTCTATTTGTTTCATTCCTCTACTCTTGAGTCCTGTGGAAGCCCGAGTTCAAGTCACATCACCAATGAAAACACATATGTGTAATAATGTGTGTTATGTAAGTAGATCTTACCTAGGTCTACCCGACGATGTGAATGTGATCTCCCGCGCCAATGACGGAAAGGAAGGATAACGAGGATAACAACGATAACGAGGATAACGAGGATAAGAGTTCAAGGATAAGAAACACGGATAAGAAACGGATAAGGATTTATCAGCTCGAGTTCTCCGCTTCATCCATTCTATCCACTTCTTCTAGAACGAATTTCCAACTTTTAGAAGTAAGACATTTCGTAAAGAAACCCCACGAACAAGAAACCCGCGATAAAACTCAGGTCTTCCCTATCGAATCCTTCTTCCAAGCTTGGAATGTATAATGAACTCAAAAAACTCAAAACCTTGTATTAAATACCGAAATGCTCCCGAAGACGAAAACCTCCTGCTCCTTTGCGACGAGTTGGCCAGTTGGCGAGCTGGAAGACAGAAATAGGAGGGAGTACAACACATTGAAGTTCTGCCTAGTAAAGTAATAATAATCATCCTCGATTTCATCAATCAGCAAATCGCATACATGGCTTTTACGAGAATTGTCCCCAGTAGGATTTTTACTGTGCAAAGTCATCAGCGCCCAAGAACCAAATGCAACGTTGTTAACTTGATGCTGAGTCGATGTCGGGTTAATAAGAGACGGTGAAGAAAAGTCTTGGGATTATCTCCAACATTCGTATGTGTGTATGAAATGGATGGTAATAGTTTGAGATATCGAATTTTCTTATTCGTCGGCGATTTACCGAATAGGAATTTTGGGGTTACATGTTACATATCGATGGGATAGGTGAATTTCTAACATGTACGAGATGAGTGAGTGGTTTTGATGTGACGGGGAGTTTTAGGGTGATCTATGGGTGATCTATGGGAATGTGTGAATAAAATGATTGGTTCGTATGGTTGGATCTCATCTCATCTTATCTAAAGCCCTATCACATATTGGACTTCATCACTGTCGCATCACCCGCTTGGTCTCACGAATAGTACGTTGTTATACTGTCGCTATCACAATGATAGGTTTCCAAGGTTCGAATTAGAATTCCCAAATTCCCCAGTTGTTATCACACAAATCCCGGAGCGTCTATTCCACTCTGTCTAAAGATTGCCTAGGTAAGGCAAATTGGGGTTGTACAACTAATCGTCATCTCATCTCATCACCATCACCAGTTCTCAATACCCAATACTATTATGATACTTGTGACATCTTCACCTGTCACCTCTGAGGTGACACATCTGGCACACCTCCGTCAGACAAACTTCGTGTGGCTAAGCTCAATAACTTACAGACTGTAGCGACAACTAATGACTCACATTCAAATCACACAACACAACGAATGAATTTGTTTCGTCAAATGTGAATTCGTCAACGTCGGCGAGTTAACCTTGACTCCCACAACATCAACGTATGTGATTACCACAAAATCACAACGTCTGGGTTGGGTTTGGAACGTTGAGGCTTGAGGCAATTTCAATTTCAATTTCAAATTAGAAGATATCTGTTTAATCGCCTCAACTACCCTCGCCGAGAGAGTTCGCGAATGTTGTAGCTCAACAGGCGTAATGTAGCGAAACCACACTTACCATCTACTCAAACCCTAACCCACAAATCACAACCATCTATTTTGAGTATAATAGTTGAATGAGCGAAATTTCATTCCTGTGGTGTATAATTAATTTAACATGTTGTACCAATGTAATAAATTGAATTTCAGAGTCAGCCTTTTCTACCCCTCTACTCCACTCTTCCCTCCCTGCACGAATTCTGCCATTTTTTTATCTACTGTTTTTCTTTATCCACTTGCATGGCAACCTGTTCCTTCCTCCCCGACCTCATATTTGCAAGTTGTTCGGACGAAATTTCTTAGTCTCGACCCTTCATACATAAAACCTGCATCAAATTATTATTCAAAAGTGTTTGTAACATGAGTAGTACTTCGTTCATGCGCTTTCATTGTCTAGATACCAAGAAAAATAATAAAATCACAAGCTTTCTCATACAAAAATACAAGTAGACTGGGCAAAATTGAGCCGCGTTGGGCTTCTCTACATAAGTAGTGTGTTTTGAAAAGTAAGCTTTTGGAACTACTGCAAGATATGTTGTACATCCAACCTTTCATCCCACTAATCTATCATCCTTCTCATTCTCATTGCCTTGAATGAAACTTTTGTGCTTTTTTTTTCTGCCGTTTGGTAAGAGGAATGAGGGGCATGTATCATGTCGTAGCTACCTACCTTCCAGTACCAGCTTATACATTATTCCCGTGGGTGTGAGCTACAAAGTTGTTATCCACTCTCGAGCCTTAGAGGTATCTGTACAATATATGTACAGTATCACGCGCTGCCCCTCCAAGCAACTCCACAATGTACCGACCACTTTCCAAGCTTGCACAAATTTATCAAAATAGCCCCTCTCCGGTTTGAGAGAACTACCTAATCTCCACATGCTTCTCGAAGCTGACTGTTGAGGACCCAGCAGGAGCGGGCAGACAGGCGAAAAATTTTCTTCTTTGCATATTCATATCAAGTACTTGGAAGTTGAAGTTTGATCATGTATGTATGTATGTATGTATGTATGTATGTATGTGTGTATGTAGGTGTGTTCTCGAGCCAAGCTGCTAGTATTGTAGACTAGTATTATGTATAGAGTACCAGTGATCCACAGTGTGGATACCTTGAGTGCAGGAACTAGGCCCTTCGTACATCTGTGTTTCACCATGAATGCGAACCATTTGGAGAGGTAACTTTAACCTTAGTTTTACTTACCTGGGAGGAATGTCGTGTGTCAATTTCTTCCCGCGTAAGAGTACATAATACATACATGTGTTTAGGCGATATGTGAATATGCACATGTCATAGGTACTTGCTTCGGAGTTTGTACTGTACGTTAAAGTACATACATGAATATTGTCCCGAGAAGTTGAAAGCTCCTAAAGTTGCTATTGGGGAAGTAATGGATGAAGAGGTATTGCACAAGGTGAGGGGCTATGCTGTTTTGCGGGTTTTAAGGAAGGGCCAAGGTGTGGCTCTTTGGGTGCAGAGGATGGGAGAGAAACATTTGAGGAAGTTTGCATGCTGAGCTGAGTGTGTTGATGGGTGGTTGGTAGGCAGAGGAAAGCTAGGAGGTATGACTGGTATTAGATGCTCTAAATTATACGCTACATTCCATCGTAAATTTCCAAATCCAACGCATGCGGCGTAAGTTAAAGGTTCGACCTTCCTTCTCCTAGCTATCATCAAGATTCATGACTCAATACAATAATGATCACCATTGAAGGAGTGAGTACACGACTTCTAGCCTTCCAAAGATCTTCCAGTTTCACATCCAGAGGCCATCCATTCTAGCTAATCCAACCTCCCCTAAAAGAGCCAAGCTTCCATCCAGTGATCAATTCTTGCCACCCCATCATGATCGCCATGCTCACAATGATCTTCCTCCCCATCATCCTCATCCGCACTTTACAGAAACAAAGAATAGCATGAAAAGGGTACAAACGGATATTTCTGGATCTACACTGCATTTTCTCTCTCTTGTATATATGTATTCCTCCACTCCACTCCACTATTCCACTGCGTGCTGCATGCACCGCGCATTCGCATTTGTATTCAAGTCACCAGGTAAACACAGAGTACAGTAGGTATTTCCTCCGAGTGAGTCCCACGAGTATTTGGCCGTAGAATACCCATCCACATACTTTATGTAATGTATACATGTGAGTTTTACGAGTTGAGATGCGAAGTATTGCAAACAAGTACGACGAGGCTTGGAGTCTACGAGTATTGTAAGTACATACTACATGAGCATCCTTCCTCTCTGCCCGTACGTTTCGAGATTCACGAGTTGCATATCACGGCATGTTACGGGATGCATGTTACATATTATATAGTGTATACTGTGTAGTATACTCATTCATTCATCTATATGGCGGGAGGAAAAGGATAGAAGGAAGGAGAAAGAAGGACGTGCGCAATGCATTACTTTTGCATGTCTGCATTGCATGTCGGATTGTGTGTGTATGTTTGTACGAGACGAGGATGCACTGGGGTTGATAGAGAATATGAAATCCAGTAGGTAGGGAGGGGGGATATGGCAGAATGGCAGAAAACGTGTATTTCATGGGGTTTTAGGGTTTAGAGTTTGGGATTAGATTTGGAGGTTGATGATGAGAATAGAAATTGATGAGTAGGTGAATGTGTAATCTTGAAATGATCTCACTGTGTGAGAAAGCGATCAGAGGGTTAGGGTTTAATGGAGGGGTTTTGACGAGGTCGAGCGACGGAAAAGAAGGGAAGTCATGAATGTCATTTTGTAGTCTGGTTCTTCCATCACTCAAATTGCAATTCAGTCCTTCAACTTTGATATCGCATTGTCATATGATATCTAACTCATACTCACACACGGAAAAGAGTTCCAGGTAATATTCTAGCAAATTGATTATCATTCAGGTTTTCATATATTTCCTACCCCCTCCAGTTCCTCTTCATTCCTCATTCCACTTTTGCGTCTTTTTCTTTTTTTTTTTGGTTCATTTAAAACCCCTCAGTACTCGGGTTATTCAGACAAAAAGATGACTGTAATGAATTCATTTTCGGAGGTGCCTCCAGCGAATCAATGAACTAGCTGATGCTATCTATATACATATATCAACCATCCTCCAAATCCACATTGCATTACCAACTTTCAACTTTCCAATATCAATCCCCTCCAGCCCAATGAGTAACCCCCAACTTCCAATTTCCAATCTCTACCTTTCACCTTCCATTTAAGTTCCTATCCTCCCCATCTATATCCCCACTCCACCCCAACCTCAACCTCCAATCTATCCTAGGCCCCCCTTCATTCTCTCATCCCCATATCCACACGCACAAGCACAGCACTGCCCAGAAGATACATACGCATTGCCGTTACGAAATCTCCCGAGCTCAATCCCTTCAGCATGCATATACTCCATAAAATCCTGTATTTTCCTCTCACCTTCACCTCTCACCTCTTACTTCTTACCTCCACCACTCAGCAGACCATGCATGCAATGTAACAATCCAAGATCTGACAATCCCACGATCCCACAATTTTGAATTTCTCAGCAATACAACACGAGATGCGATGAGATAAAAAAGATAACAATTATTCCTCCTATCGGCTGATGTTAGGTAGACGTAACGAAGTATTGCCAGAGTGGAGGCGGAGTGGAGTGGAGTTTCCACAATATATGCGGGGAGATTAGAGATATATTTTGAAGAACTTGGATTTGGAAGGAGGTTATTTGAGCAGCTTGGCGGACAAGCAAGTAAGAAATCAAGCAAGGAAGTAAATAAATGTTTGAAAATATTT